CCTTTTGTTTGTCCCTTGTTTTAATGGAACTTGTAGAAGATTTGCTATTTCTGTCATGTTTAATTATAAATAAAAAATAAAAATTAATTATAAAAAGTTAATCAAATTTAACACCCCCTTTATTTAAATCAACTATTATTTTCCCATGTTCACCTAATTGCTGATATTGTGTGTAAAGTTCATTAATGCTCATTGGTAAATTCACTTGATAAAGCATAACATTCAACTGTTGACGACTAAACCACTGAAAATGAAAAGTGTTGATAGATTTGATTTAATGTTTGTGCTTAATGCTTTGAAATATTGAACAGCCATAAAGAATGAACACTGAATGTGTCGACATTGAGTTAATAACTGATTAAAATATGATTTCTCATTTGTTATTAGTTTTGATTTCACCGCATCATCTAGAAAAATGAGTGAATGCAAAAATTCTCTATCAAAATTTGAAATAGAAAGTGTTTCAAATAATTCATCCCGTTGTTTATCAATAATTTTATCCTCTAATCCTTGCTTCTTGATTGTATTATATAATTCTTTATACATTAAAAAGTTTTTTAAATAATCTTCTGCTTCTTCTTGTGATAAATAAATAATTGGAATTTTGATTAAATGCTTTAAAGATTCAAATGTATCATCTGAAGGTGAACCTGAACGGTTGATATAAATTAACACATGTGAATAGGGGGAAGTGTTAGCAATAATGATAATTTGTTTTAATATCGTTAATGTTTTACCTTTATTCTGTTTACCAATTGCTGCAGTGATTGAATTTAAGTAACATTCAGAATATGGAATTTTCATTAATTTTTCCTTAGATAGAGCATTTCTATTATCACTCAATGCTTCATTAATCATATCATCTATGTATGTATTATATACTCCTGCTAATTCTTCATAAGGGGTGGATGAATTTAAATCCATTTAATCAAAAATAAATTTATAATTTTAAACATTTCTATTCATCAATATTTCATCATATGAACTTCTATACTGTGGTGGTGTACCTGTTGGATGATATTTCAAACCTTCATCCGGTGTCCATGTCCAATATGTAGTCCTAGTAAACCAAACCTGAGGAGGATTTGTCACTTTTGAACAGTAAGTGTCATTTTCACCCTGAATGATTGGATAAGCTTTCACTGTACTGTAACTTGTGAGTTGAAAGTTTCTAACCATCAAAGAATATACCGCTCCATCACGTTGAACTGGAATAGTGCATAAGAATGAAGTTTGGTCTTTCCATGTTCTAGCTAATGGTGTGCCATTATCATCATTCAGTGGTCTAGTTAATGAGTCCTCGTATTCTTCCGTGCATTCATTCACTCCATCTAATCAGAAGCTTGAAGCATACGTGTAAAGAATATGTCGCCCACTGTTGTCATCGCTTGATCGGGGAAGTTTCTGGAATCTATAGTGACCTGAAGACCTCGAAGCATTGGATTTTCTAAAACTGTTCTTTGCATTGCATTCTTCGGAATGTTAACACAACATCTGTAACATTATGAAGAGCGTATGAGAAATCTGAACTGATACCTTCAGGAGTGATGCAACCTCCATTTAGTGAACGAACGTCAATATGTTGAGCTGGAATCATGAATGGATCTTCCTTACTGAATAAACGTGGTATTGCTTTAACTGATTCTTCAATTAAACCGTATCCTGGTGTAATGCATTTATCCTCTAAAACTTCCATCTTTGTGCATGAAATAATAACGTCTTCAACTGTTGCGTCAGCAGATGTAGCGGCTAAGCTTGTAATTAATTTGGCAGGAAGTCCGATTTGTTGGAATTTGCGATCATATTTATAAACATGATTCATAATCTTTTCATAATTTTCATCAGTTATCTTTTCATAAACGTAATTTTGTAAATCAGCAACTCTTAACGGGTCAACCTGACAAAATACTAAAGTATCCCTGAAAACATAATATTTAAGAATGATTTCACCAAATGATTTAGGATAATCATCGAACGCCTGAAATGCTAACAAATCATTTACCGGAATAATCATATCAAAAGTGACATCAACTTCTTCATTTGCATTCTTGAAAACTTCTGAAGGGTCAATATATTTACCACATACTGAGTTATCATATTTTTGAACATTATTATATAACGAATGAACAAACTTTTTAACTTTCCTTTCTGATTTTGGTTTATATGTTGCAAATGCGAAAGATTCACGGGCGCAATCCATCTGAAGATAACCAGCATCACCTCTTTCGGTTTCTACTTCTAATTGTTTAAAGCTTTGATTTGATGATTTGTAACCAACGAATAAACGCATGCATTTAAAAGCGGCATCACATGTGAAAGCTTTATTTGAAACTAGAGTTGCTTTAACTTTGCGTTTAATATATGTGTCACCTAATTGATTCACATCATGAGCTGGATTTGTAATTCTTAAATGAGTTTGTTTATCATCAAAATATGGAGCATCAGAGTCATAGCATGAACTTTCAAGTTCTCTATAATATCTTCACCGTCATTCTTTGCGAATATTTCATTTATCTTTTCGAATGAATGAAAACATTTCCATTAATCGGTTTAGTGTTTGGCACTAAATAGTTAGTCGTCATTTATTATTAAATAAAAAATCAAAATTAAAAGATGAAAATGAATTTTTAATTTTGATGAAATAATCAACTATGGCTGCAGGTATATTTAAGAAACTGTGGGATAAAGTAAAAAGAGGAGCGCATAAAGTTTGGGAAACAGTGAAGAAAGGAGCAAATTGGATATTTAAGAATAAAGAAGCAATTAGTGATGTTGCTGAATCAATAACACCAAAAGCTGCCCCAATAAGAGAAATTTTAAATAAAGGAGAAAAAGTTTATCAAAGACTACAACCGATATTGAGATAAAAATAATATTTATTTATTTTTCCACTACTTTCCTCCTATTTTATTAAGTATTCCTTCAGCAATTCCACCAACTGCGTTACCTGCTTGTGCTCCCATCGCTGGATTACCTGCTTTAGCACCTAATACTCCTCCTATGATAGTTCCTGCCGTTTTCGCTACTGGTGCCAAAAAGTTTGCAACAGGTTTAATAACCTTTTTATAAACCCAACCTGCAGCTTTCTTAATTCCATCCCATAATTTTTTAAAGAATCCTGCCGCCATTTCTGATTTAATATTAATTAAAAATATATTTCATCACTTATATTCTAATTTTTTATTTAATGATAAATGAAACCAATTTTAAAAATAAATGAAACAGAGGAGGAAGAAATAAATGAAAGTGAAAATGTTCAACAAAAAATAAACGTTGTTAAACCAATTACTGAAATAAAAATTTTTCATCTGTTGATGAATTTAATGACTATTATGCTAATAATAAAAAATTATTTGAAGAATTGACAACATGTAAATTGAATAAAATGTTTAAAGTTGAGGACAGAGTCCAAGACCCAGAGGGTCATGGATTCAAAATTTCAAAAATAAAAGGTGTTGTTAGTTTAAAATCTATTCCTCAATCAAGAATCACCTCATTAATGAAAATTGATGATTTAACAAAAAGAATAGAAATTATTGAAGAGCGAAATAAATCATTTTGATAAATCATGACTCGTTGAGCCCGGGTCCTTAAAGTCCATCACTGAGTTCAAGGTTATATTCATCAAATATTTCATTATTAAATGCAACTTCTGCTAGTTTATTTATTTTTTCAATACGATCATTTGAAAGTCTATCGTTTAATTTTTCTGAAGTTTTTCATTTTCTAGTTCTGAAACTTTATTTGGATGATATTTAAACCCGTTAAATTCTTTTTCCTCAGTTTTGATCATTAATTTACAAAGAACTTTTGTGGTTGGAATTCGTTTAAACCATTTATCATTAATATTTGTTATAAATTCAATATCTGGAATTAATTCCCAAATTTTTGCATTTTCAATTAATTTATTATCAAATGCAAAAGCAATAGGTTTAATATTAAACTTACCTTTATAATATATACTTTCTACATAATCATCGAAATAAACATCTACTTGTTTAACATTTTCAAGAATTGGTGAAAGAGCATCCATTAATTGATTGACGGTTACGAATCTTGATCCACTCATTTTCATACGAATTAAAAAAATAAATTATTCAAAAAATGTAAGACATGAATTTTTAAAGTTTATTTTTTTATTTTTTTATTTTTTTTTATTTCATTATGTATGGGTTTAGTGAAAATTTCTTACGATTCTGAAAATTTTTAAATCTTGATTTATTCAAAAACGTAAGAATAAAAACCGTAAAAATCATACATTTTTTACTTCATATGTAAAAAAAAATGATACAAAATCGCTCAAAAATGTATGAATTCTTACGTTTACAAAAAAAGTCACAAAACCCTTCAACATATACTACTCATAAATCCATCCTAGAATTAATCGTTATTGATGGTTCATTAATAATTTTAAGTCATGAATTTCCAAAAATATTTTAAAATTCAGAAAACAACGAGAATTTTTTTCATTTTATTCAAATAAAATTGTCTTTCCGAATTTTTTTTAGAAATTTAAATCTTGTAAATTGATTTTCTAGGGTAAATTAATAAAATATCAAGAAATTAAATAAGTAAAAAGTTTTTATTATTTATAAAATACAATGTGTTTATTAAATTAATTCAAATTATAATAACAATACAAAAATTATATTGATTTCGTGCAAAAAACATCCACATTTAGAGTTGAGATCAAAGTCATTAAAATGTATAAATAATTATGCATACAAATTCTTTTAATTCTTGTAATTTCCCCTTAAGCATTTGTTGTATCTTGATTATAAACAAATATTTAGTATGTTATCAAGTCACTATAGCCACGAACATTTGCCATCAAGTGATAAACTTCAATCCATCGGCTTCAAATTGATTTTTTTTGAAAAAATTAGATTTGAATTGAGTCAAAAAGTTATTCACAAAAAGTGAAAATGATAATTTCATTATGAGTAAATCAATCAGAATTTAAAAAGTCTGAAATAAAAATTGTCAGTTTTTTTTTCAAAATGAGTAATTTGCCCGTGAATGAAGCTCCTCTCCATGTAATTTCATCCAAGAAGATTCTTGGAACCACAGATCTCTTCATATTAATAAATCCAAACAGGTCATTGCAATTTTTCATTCCTGCACAACAAGCAAAAGAAAGTACCGGACAAATCATCGAGATTACTCTTGATGAGAAAGATAATTACGCAGTAAATATAGTTTACTTTTCAAAAGTTAGAAAAATCGGCGAAATACCTAAACAAGTCAAGCTGAAATTCGATAGTTCAAAAAATCTCGATCATTTCATGGCAAATTACTCATCAGCAGCGTCAAACATAAATTCCATGATGGAACTAAAGCGTCGAAACGATAAAATCCTAATTACAGTCTTTGTTGCCACGTTTAACATGGGAAACAAGGCTCCAAAGGAAGAATTTAAACAAATGCTCAAAGATGCAGCTGCCAAGAAACCAGATATTATATTCTATGCAGCACAGGAAGCAGATTACGGCTCCAGTTCCGTTGAAGATTTATTTAATACCATTACTACAACATTGGAAAATTCATACTCGTGCATTGTCAAGAGCAATTTTTGGGAAATGCGTCTTGTTTTACTTATCAAAAAACGCTTGGAAGCTTTTGTATCCAACGTTGTTGCATCCACAGAAGCTACAGGTATCCTTGGCCTTATGGGCAATAAAGGAGGTGTCGTCGCATGCTTGAATATCTTCGATTCACCTATTGCTTTCGTCTCTTCCCATTTGAATGCTCACCAAGGCAACGTTCAGCGCAGAAACGAAGATTTCAAGTCCATCTGCACAATGATTGATCTTGACAATCCACCATTCGACCTACTTTCTGGCTATCACCATGTTATTTGGGCAGGAGATTTGAATTATCGTATCGACAAAACATTCCAAGAGGTTGTTGATGCTACACAAAGCCAAAACTTCGATTCAATGTTCCCAGAAGACCAATTAAACAAGCAGATGAAGCTTGGAAAGACATTTAATAGTTTCATCGAAGGCAAAATCAACTTTGCACCAACATACAAATTCAAGAAAGGAACTACTAAATACGATGCCGAAAGTAAGAGAATTCCTGCCTGGTGCGATCGCGTTTTGATCAGATCATTTGAAGGATTAGAGAGAACTTGCCTCTCCTACAGCCACCACGACTCAGTCACCACCTCTGACCACCACCCTGTCTCCGCCATGTGGGAAATCGAGGTATGCAACACTCCGCCAGCCGCAGCCCCGTTCGCTTCTATAATTGGCGTCAGACCTTACGCAGAGATCTCCAATTTGACACTGGATATTGGTGCTCCGATCGAATCTGTCAAATGCCAGATTATTTGGCCTTTCTCCGACTTCTTAAATTGCGCATCAGGAAAAGGCAGAAAGTACGTACAGTGGCCAGACGATACTGTTCCACTGCTCGTCCCGACAAATGCAATCTCAACAAACCACCTCAAAACTCAGTTTGTCCACTTCGTTTTCATTGTAAACGAGAAAACTGCCATTGCAATACTTCCTTTGCACACTGTACCCGTCGATGTATTCAAGCAGTTTAAGATCAACGCAGAATACAAGCTGGAACATATTGGAACTGTAAGTTTGAATATTAGATTTGTCGTCGCTTCGGAATCTCACATAAAAGAACAGGCTTTGAGACATCAGAAGGCTAATGAAGCTCATACTTTCCACACCTTGTAATTTTTATTTATTTTTTTTATGCTATTAAATTGATTCAGTTTTTTTTTAATAATAATATACGCTTTGCTTTAGAGAAAACAGTGTGAATATGTAACATGAGTATTTTATTTTACAAACAAACAAGAAATGTTATGACTCTGATAAACTTGATTCCGATGAAAAACTTGTAAATTCATGATCCTCTTCAATAAATCCAGTTGAATTTTCCGATGCTTGGTAATCATCAGGTGTAATAAGGATTTCTGTTAAAGCTTTTGGCTTCAATTCAACAGAAACATTAAATTTACCATTACTTTCTGAAACCTTATTTTTGGCCTTTGATTTGTGATCATCAGAAGTGAGAGTTGAAGAAGAAGATGAAGAAGATTTATTTTTCTTCTTCGAAATTTTGGTATTTTTTGGATGAAGGTACAAATCTGATTCTTCTAATCCAAGCTTGCTAGAGACAATATTTTGTCTTGTTAAACAGGCGCGTAAATCCTCTACATCATTCTTTAAAGATTTCAATTCATGCGATGTACCATATGGCTTTCCTTCTCGAATACTAAGCCATGCTTCACTAATGTGTCTGTGCTCTTTAATTATATGCTTATCTAAAAATTGCAAGCTTCGAAAAGCTCTACCGCAACATGGACAAGTATGAACAATAATGGCAGCTTCTTGTGTTGTAGAATAAGCAATTGGAGGCGGAGGAAATGGATTACGGTTGTAGGATAAATTATCAATTTTTTTTGTTGCTTTCTCGAATTTGTGTTTCATATATTCAATTTCTTTTTCTTTGTATTTAAGTTTGTTTTGCAATTCCCTAATTTGTTTAAATAAGTATTTGATTGAATCATGGCTGATTTCAAAGAATTTTCTTGAGAGAGGAAATGGAAGGAATTGTTGGTCAACTGCAGTATACTCAGAATCAGCAAACATATATGCATATTTTTCTAAAGTAGAGTAATCATGTGCTTCACGAATAAATTCTGTATTCAAAGAGTTTAAATAATTCCAATCAAATTGATGAATTGATTGACTTATTGTTGGTGACACTCCTTGATATTGTGGAGGACAACCACATGTCGGTGTTTGAGTTACATACATTATATAAAAAAAATTTCAAAACGTACATCAAGAATAATTTAAAATCGATTCCAAATATCATAAATATATAGGAAACTGTTCAAAAGTTGAGTTTTTAAATCAATAATATATAAACGCAATGCAATCAAGAAATCAATAAAATTGTAGAGTATTAGTTGAATATTTTAACAAGAAACTACTAAAATGGATGATGAACTTACCATAATGCTAATATAAACATTATAAAATTATTATTGAGTTGTTGATGCAGAGAAATAATGCTATTTTAGATGAAAATGAAAGTTGTAATGAAATATGTTAATTAGAATTTATATCTTGAGTATCTTAGGAAGAAATAATTCAATATTACAGACATGAATATATTACAAAATAGGAATTTAAAATTTGAAAGCGAATGGCGCACAAAGTATTGAGGTTATTATGGATCTTCTTCATTTTAGATTACGATGTGTTAGAAAAATGACTTAGATCTATAATTTTGATTGGCAAAATTACCAAAAACATGCAATAGTTGGCTTTTGTAAAACGGAATTAAATAGAAATGATAAATAAATTGATTTTTCAACGAATAAACTTTACTTTCAATCATTGAAAGAGCGGGATTGGTTCAAATTTTTCATTAAAGGAATTATTCAAGAAAACTAAGGCAACTTTATGCTAACTTTAATAGGGTAAGAAGAGTTTTGTATCAAATAGCCAGTTAACTTTTAAATGAAATTCAAAAATGATTCTAAAACACACCGATTGTATCATTAGGGACGTATTTCGTATAAGAAGGTTGTTATAAGATTAATGCTCAGTAAGATAATGCACTATTCGAATATATTCACTACTTTCGAGAGTAAATCATTATTGAAAACGATTAGTCATTAAAGCAACTATGTTTCGTGATACCCTTTAGAGTGTTTATGCAAAGACGATATCAATGCCTTGATTCAAGTCAAGATTAGAATTGATCATATGCTGACATCAGTGAGTTGTAAAAACTTATTCACATTTTTCAAAAATGAGTTATAGTACACTCATGTTACCACGTCCGATTTATTGACTTAATGATTTAACTTTTGGTGATTCTGCACGTTAATATTGGTACTCTTTCAACCAAAAATTGCATAAGTAATTTACATATGATGTATCTCAAGTCAAATAAGATTGTTATCCAATCATATTTCCGTTAGTTCGATTTTTTGCTTGTTCGCTTGAAGACTGAACAACTTGAAAAATTCAAAGATTAACATGCAACACCAATGTACATCTTTTAATCGCCATGCGAATCAAAAAGATTAAAGTAACCTTGGCTTCAAAAGTCAATAACGTTTTTTTGGATCTGTTTCTTAGGAAGATATTTGTATATGAATATTTAATTTAATGAATGGTCGTCAATCATTTATGAAAAAGAACGTTGTGATCATTCTCATGAAAAATGTCAAAACAGTGGCTTTCAAAAAATTTGACGCGTAATACCGAAAAATTAGAATAATTTAATTCAGATAGAATTCTTTCCGGCATATTCGGCATTTCGGAACGAATTAATTGAAATTTTGCAAACCAAATGTCATAGTTCAAAATACATAAATTTTAGCACTGATATTATCCAGGATATATTAGGCTCAAAATAACTTTTGAATAGAATTTAAAATAGAACGTAAAAACATAGTTGATTATAAATGAATATTGTTTAATGTTATATCCATTAGCACATGGATAAATACATTAATAAAATTTTTGAATTATTAGGATTTTTTCAACCTTGATAAAACGCTCAAAAATTTCCATTATATTCGTTTATAAAATTGTTGATATTTTTTATTTGATAAATCAGAAAAATTGAATTAACTATCAAAATATAGAAATAGAAATAAGATTTGAACTCTACATCAAAATAGATAGGAATTACAATAATATAAAATTCAAAGAAATAATTTGACAAAGAACAACATTAAACAAAATTCATATTTGTTTCCAAATAATGTAATATGTTAAAAATAATTAAATGATTCTAGTTTATCGTATACTAGAATCAAAATCTCGAGCACAAAAGTAACATTGAATACTTGTAACTATAGAATTTCCATGTAAACTATTCATTTCTATCGTTTTTTGTAGTCCACATTTCCTCACTCTCGATTTTACTCATAAAAATATTACAAAATCACTATACAATATATAAAATATATATTTATATGGTTAAAACAATGTTATTTTTGCGAGATTTCATCTGAAATTAAAATTAGGGGATTTTTGAATTTGAACTAAAATTTGTGATTGGCAATTATTGAATAATCGATTGGAATATGAAAGAAATACTTTAAAATTGAATAGAATGTGCCGATAGAATTTTTCTCACAATTTTAAAAAGTTGTCCAAATCCTATTTTTGATTGAGGTTTTGCAATTTTTATATATCAAGTGACAAGCTAAAAATCAAATTTTTGTTGTACTACTGTTAATGCAACTATTTGTAAATTACGTTCCTCCTTTGTATTCGAGTAATCAACACCGAGATTACATATTGTAAGAAAATCTTTGGAATTAGATTTTTATTTGAATTTAAATTCGGACGGTCTAGTTCATGTTGCTTCGTGAGAATATATATAATTTGCAATATGAAAATGATATACACGATTCTGTATAAATAAGTAATTATGCTTTAGGAAACTGCTCGGCATTGCATGAGATCTAATCTTAATAATTTTTTAGATATGTTGAAATATGTCATATTTAGCTTCAATATCATTTATTATGGTGTGTCTTTGCTGTTTTGTGATATTGTGTTGTGCATGAAAAATAGCGTGACTTCACTTTTGACAAAAAGTGACACTATTTCTGATGGTTTTGTCATTTATTTGTCAGATTTATAAATGGATAATAATGCTGTAAATCAGATATTAATTAAAAATATTTAAGATTTATGTTCGAATTGAAAAGCAAAATGATATTTTTTTTAATTGAAAAACGTTAATATCTGATATTTTGAAGTTTTTAATATTTGTTAGTATCTTAAATTATTGAATGCATACGTTTTTTATGTTCTCAATTTTAAAAAAATTGTGAAGAATTTAGTTTTTTGGAGATGGATGTTTAATATTTGTGAGTGAGAATGCAAGCAGGAGTTTGGTACTTTAAGGCTAGGTTGAGATAGATTTCCCATTATATTATCTGTGAATATATTGTTTGAAAATTCAAGATATAAAAATATATTATCAAAAAATTTTATATTTTTAAATACAATAGGGTGGAAATATAGTACAATGAGATAGCAATGATATATTTTATAATGGGAGGTAATCTGAAGATAAGTAGCAAATTTTATGCGATTTTGATTGGGAGTTGGAGGGTGTGAGTACTATAGCATGTAATATTATCTCACACCCTCCAATTCTTCCTATGGCGCCGAAAAATTTTTGGTGAAATGCGACGACATTTCACCAAAAATTTTCGGCGCCATATAGAGAACTATAGTCTGCGAGGTACTGATTCTATCTATGTACCTCGCAGACCATAGTTCTCAGCCAAAATGGCTAATAATTTGAGAGTCTATATGATAATGTAAAAGTTAAAACATTCAAGTATTTAAGTATTTCTTTAAAATATTAAGTTTTTTATTTTTCCAATAAAATTCTAATATCAAATATTTTTATTTAACGATTAATTTTATTTATATTTTTATAGTTTTTTTAAGAAAAAATATTGTTAGGGTTTTATGGATTTTCAATTAATATACAAGATAATTCATGAATGTATATATTTCCAAGTTTTTAAGGATGCAACACTTTACATTTGTAAACTGTCAAAAATGAAGTCACGCTATTTTTCATGCATTACAGTTTTGTGATATTGGATATCAATGACTCTTCTGTGAACGAAAAAATCATTAAATTCTAAACGTAAGCGAAACTCATTCAATTTATTATTAGAATCAAATCTATTTTAAAATTGAGCTATTTGATAAATCACAAAAGAATACTTTATATTTTTAGTCAAAATTTGTTGATAGGAGCTTATTGGCGCAATCTACTGATCTTCCTGGAAGGAGCGCACAGACCAGTCAGAAGCGCTCCTTCCAGGACCAGAAAGACTAGAAGGGGGCTCTGACCTTGAGAAAGGACCCCCTTCCAGGTCTTTCTGTGACAATTCGGTTCGCATTGCGAGTGTCTGCTGCTTCTTTTGACTAAAGCAGCAGACACTCGCAATTATATGTCGCGGCAGGTGCATCTGTGGTGTCGGAATGCACTTGCCGCCAACTTCGAGCAATCTACTGATCTTCCTGGAAGGAGCGCACAGACCAGTCAGAAGCGCTCCTTCCAGGACCAGAAAGACTAGAAGGGGGCTCTGACCTTGAGAAAGGACCCCCTTCCAGGCCTTTCTCAAAGGAATATTGTGCCATTGTGGGAGACATACAGTGGCAATGTCTCCCAGAATGACACTTTGTGACCGACAGGAGTGCATAATGCACTCCTGTCGGTCAATGTTTTGCAATCACAAAGTGATTGCAAAAAATTGTGCCATCCAGAGGCAATGTCTCCAGGAATGATATGTGCAGACCGACAAGAGTGCATAACACACTCTTGTCGGTCAAAGTTCCGCATTCAAGTTATGAATGCGGAACATTGTGCCATTGTGGGAGACATGCAGTGGCAATGTCTCCCAGAATGACACATTGCGACCAACACGAGTGAATGGGACACTCTATTCTTTCAATTTTCCCATTAATATTTTTCTTTTTTGATTGCAAGGATATTAGTTTTAAACGGAAATCCGACGGTTGTTTAAGAGTATGCACTTTTGTCACCTACTCACTTTTTGCCCCATCTAATGAGATTTTTTTTTACAATTTTTTTTCCCTTATTTTTCAATTTAGATATGATTTTAAGCTCTCCAAATTGAAGTTTACCTGATGTTTCTTAGTTTTTATGATAATAAAATGTTGCAAAGTTGAGTTTGGATTCAATAAATTTAAGAAAATTTTATTTTACAATGAAATTATAAGAAAGGATGTTTTTATCCTATGTCAAAGAGAATACATTTGTAGATCCCGACTTTTGACATGGTTGAAAATTCCAAAAAAAAAATTCAAAATTTAAAAAAAAAAATTAAAAAATATAAATTTCATGTTAAAAAAATTTTTGAAATTTTTTTGGAAAAATAGAATGTCATATTTTATGTTTTATTGCTATTTTTTACGAAATCAATAAAATATTTGTTAATTTGGCTGAGATTATAAATAAAATCTTTCTAAATCTTGCAATTGATTGCTAAAATCTGTTTTATGTATTAATTGGCATTGAGATTCGTTATAAAAGAATGCGAATTATTTTGTATGAGTAAACGTATTTTGTAAAATTTCAAATTCTCTTCTCTCATTACTTACCTTAGATCTCTCGGCTTTTAGCTCTCAGATTTCGCTCATAGAACTCAGGTTTTAGTTATGTACTCATAGATGTATCATTACTGCCCGCAGATCTCTCATTACTACCTTACTAACCAGATCTTAACTCTCATTACTACCTTACTAACCAGATCTTAACTCTCATTACTACCTTACTAACCAGATCTTAACTCTCATTACTACCTTACTAACCAGATCTTAACTCTCATTACTACCTTACTAACCAGATCTTAACTCTCATTACTACCTTACTAACCAGATCTTAACTCTCATTACTACCTTACTAACCAGATCTTAACTCTCATTACTACCTTACTAACCAGATCTTAACTCTCATTACTACCTTACTAACCAGATCTTAACTCTCATTACTACCTTACTCATCAGATCTTAACTCTCCGACCTTACTAACCAGATCTTAACTCTCATTACTACCTTACTCATCAGATCTTAACTCTCATTACTACCTTACTAACCAGATCTTAACTCTCATTACTACCTTACTAACCAGATCTTAACTCTCATTACTACCTTACTAACCAGATCTTAACTCTCATTACTACCTTACTAACCAGATCTTAACTCTCATTACTACCTTACTCATCAGATATCTAATTATTTACATAAGATTTCTCACATCTCACTCAAGTCTCATTACTTACCCTATCTTTTTAACCTTTTCTGATAATTACTGAAATAACTAAATCCTTTTTTTAGTTTAATTCTGATATTAAATTTTTAAAATCTCTTTAATTTTTTGAACTACGCCTTTAATTTGTAATTGCCGATTTCACAGATTTGAACCATTTAATAAAATAACATTATTCAACTTAATCATATCAAACATGGTAGTTTGATTTTCAGATCTACATTTTAAAAACCTCTTTATTATCTTGAGTTATACTTTTATTATATAATACCTGAGTTCATAACTGAAAACTCTTAATTAGAGTACAATATTCAACTTAATCATAACAAGATTTGTTGAATTTCAAATTCGATTTATATCTTCCATCACTTAAAACTCTCACAGCTTACAATATAAGCTAAAAAGTATATTTTCATAGTAATAAAATTAATTATTAAATTTTTTACTTTTTCCTTTCCAAAACTAGAAAAAAAGGAAGGGAAAAGGGAAAAAGAAAAAAAAGAAGAGAAAAGAAGAAAAAAATAATAATGAGCATATTATATAATTGTGGTCATAGGCCGAGTGGCGTGGAAAGGGTGGAGCCCGAAGGGCGACATCCTTTCCACGCCACGAGGCCCGATTTTTGGCCACTTTTTTGATTTTGGCCGCGTGCCAGCTCCTGGCAGGCGGCCCGCAAAATTGTGCCAGTTTGTACAACCCTACCTGGAAATAGAGGGTAATTAATATATGCGGGTCATTTTATTTTTTTTCATAATTACATTATATATAATAATAGATTATATGTCCAAATCGAACAAATTGTGAATTTTTACTTTTGAATCGTATTCAAATTTACCCTCTCCTAAGAAAATGCCCCAACAATACTATAATAGTTTTTTCAGAGAAACCCAATTGCTTTAATAGTTTGTTAAATATTGAAGGATACGAATAGTATAACAATCCATTTTAATAATATTTTTATTCTATCAATCAATATATTTTTTTTCCGTGGAGATAAAAATAATTTTTCTTTAATTTACGCCATATCACTTTTGATGGAAGGCACATATTCCACCCTTACAGAGGTTATTTTGGCAGTATTCCAACACGAGCAAACATCTCTCTTGTCCTTAGACAAGATCTGTGAACAAGTTAACAGTCCAGACTTAAGATTGGATAACGGTAAGGGAGTTCCAGTTCCCTGCACAAGTATTTCACGTCGTCGCATCAGTTCGATACTCTCAAGCTCAGAATTCTTCATCCGAGCTGGCCCCCCAAGGTCATGTATTTGGGCATTACGTCCACAAAATCCATTGTTCCTTAGTAACGGAGCATTAGCCTCAGCAATTGAACAAACACTAACCGAACACGGTCCACTTCAGACAGAAGATTTTGTCACCTTAACGGGGTTAAGCGGATCCAATGAATCGGTTTTCTCTCACTTCTTCCTTTCTCATCCGGATGAATATAGCATGGACAAGGATAATCGCTGGTGGTTCGCTAATCAACCGCAACCAATTAGACAACAGTTCGAAAATGTGGTTGTGGCAATCGTTCATGCCCTCCACGCACTTGGCCAAGAATCATCAATAGAAGAAATCCATTGGTATCTCTGCCTTGCAACCACAGACGGTAACAAGAGGATTTCAAGGAGAAAGATATCAAGAGAATTGTCAAGGAGAACAGATCTCTTCCAACACATTTCTCGTGCTAAGTATTCACTTCTTCAACCACAGCAGAACCAATTCCCAAGGAAGGTTATCCCAGAACCAATCATTTCTAAGGTTTTTGAACCTGCACCTCTCACGATGGACTTTCAGTATGATTTTCCTCAGTGCGAAACTCCTCCGTGCGTTAATAACGATATTTTCGATGCCAACGATTTCTTTGGTCTCAGTTTTTCATGTAATTTCGATTAAGAACTACTTTAGCCTTACTGTATTTCATTTATATTATGTGTCATTTTTATTGTATATTAAACCATGCTCATTAATTGGGTTATAAATAAAATTTCTTATATTTTATGTTAAATCATTTCAGATTGAAAACTTCGAATTATTAAAAAATTAGTTATTTCAATGATCTCAATTAAGCTTGAGGATAATGAATTAACATGCGAAGATACTGCAATCACATTCTTTTGATGATTTTCTTCATTATGTCCCTCCTGATCATATCACTTCAAATTTCATTTATAAAGCTAAGATCAAAACAAATATTTTAAACTCGAAAGGAAAGGATTAACATAAGGTTTAAACAATGTTTAATTATATTTCCGCAAACAACAGAAAATTTTATGCAATTTGAGAAAAGCCGCGGAAAAAAATTTATTTAAGTTTATCCAATTAATGAATTGTGATTTCTCAATTTATCGACAAGAGAAAGAAAATTCAAAATAAGAATCCTTTAAGAATTCGATTTTATGAGGAATTTCTCTTTATGTAATGAAATTCAATAAAAAAAATACCGATTAGTCATGTGCAGATTCAAGAACAAAAGTCATCATTAAATTCATCTGACAAAGTTTTTATTCAATGTCGAAAACAATGATTGATGTATATTCTTTTACATTTAAGCGAATACCTAGCGCAAATCATTCCTCATATTTACTCTAATCCATGAAATAATAGAAAAAACAATGTAATTATGGTTCAAATAATCAGAGTAGAGGGAGATAAAAATTACCATTTTTCTCTTGGCAAAAATGAATTTCAAGCAAAGTTTAAAAGTCAATGATGAAAATATATCTGACAAATATAATATTCTATATTAAAAAACGAAGAAATCTTGAATGCTCGATTGGACCAACATATATAATCATAAATTGAATATTTGGATATTTCTATAACATTATACATATGTAGTACATCTTGAATTCTTGCAGAATGATCGGTAAAATTAAAATTTATTTTTATGAAATATTGAAGAAATGAGCTATTGGAAAATTATATCAATTGATTTGGGCGACCTTAAACTATTAAAATCCATTTTCTGGAAGATACCGCTTAATTATGTGTTTAAAAGATTCAAAAATCGAATTTCTACTGCTAATCTTTCTCATAAAAACGATTTTCATGCTTTCAAAGAGTGAGAAATATTATGTACAACTAATAATAGTGTTATATAAGTGTAGTTCTTAGTATCTAAAAAAAGTATTAAAAACATAATCTTCAGAATTCTATATAACTAGAACAATAACTTAACAGATGGAGATCATTCAAATACATTATCCCCGATAAAGCCCATATATTAAAAAATATGACATAATTTAAATACTTTGTTAGAAGCCATTAAGACTATCACATGAAACTTCTACAACCATTAAACTTATCACACATATCTATTTCTCATAAAATACTAGTCATTTCGTCTCGTGAAGTATTTGAACAATTATATGTCACTTTTCTATCACATTTACAAAATTTAATGAGAATATACGTGACACAACCAAAACAATCTCGCATTGCTATAGAAGCCGATCCCAGCATTTCATTAGACTCACTTAAAGAAATTCTTATTAAAGACCATAAGTATATGGACGGAACTTATGTTTTTATCCAAAATGGAAAAATTTTTCCTTTTACAACTCATTTAGACGCTTTTAAAGAGGATTCTATAATTTTCATATATATCAAAGATCCATTCCCACCAGGCGAAAAGAGCGTTCCTTTGGATGCTGATTACTTTTATTCTCATCCAGAAGAAGTTCAACGACTTTTAGAGGTTTTTGAAGCCAGAAATATTGAATCAGTTATCTTAACAGCAGAATCCCGCAATATCTCACTTCAGAACATCCAATTGATTGGTTTATATCCAAGAATTGGGCAGACAATAACTTCGGATTACGATGCAAATTTGATGCAGCTCTCTGATAAACAACGCCAGGACTTTCAAAGAGTTTTGCAGTTTACAAGAGACACTGTTGATAGAGATGTTGCATTACAAACATTTATTGCATGCGACCACAATCCTGATTTAACTTTGAATTGTCTATAAAAAAAAAGATCAATTTTCAGGAGTGAGAGAGAGAGAGAGCTAATGCACATTGTTGTAAACAGAAATTCATCAAAAGTGACACCTCAGAAAAGCTAAAATATTGAATTTTTGGAACTTTTGATAGAGCACGTTTTTAAATATTAATTAAAGTAAATGTATATTTTGTAAAGATTCTTTTTAATAAAAAAATAAAATTTTGAAGAAGAACACAAAATCTTCTGAAAAATAATATCACATAAACTCATATTATTTTCTAATATATAACTATTTTATATAAAAATCAAATTCAATGATCTTAAAAGCGAAGGATAAACCTCAAAATTTACGAATATAATGAGTGGGAATATAATGCTTATCTATCATAAAACCATATGAAATATCAATTTTTGCTTTACGCCTATTCCCACTCATTATATTCGTAAATTTTGAGGTTTATCCTTCGCTTTTAAGATCATTGAATTTGATTTTTATATAAAATAGTTATATATTAGAAAATAATATGAGTTTATGTGATATTATTTTTCAGAAGATTTCATTCTATATGCCTATGAAAAGTACTCTCAAAACTAACTTTTTCCTAATTATAATTAAATCTAGAATATTGTATTATGCTTAGTATTATTTCATTTTTCTCATTCAATTTAGAATTTACAAATGTCAAAAAATTGAGAGCTGTCACTTTTGATGAATTTCTGTTTATTACACACATTAATACTATATTTTCAAATTAGCGAATAACACAAATTGAATTTTTTTTTTAAATAAATTGTTTTATTAATGAAAAAGCAGCCACATACTACCATTTCCATATTGGAATAATAACAGAATTTATTAATAACAACAAAAAAACTAACAAAAAAAAATAATATATAATAAAGTTACTTCAAGTTCGGGAACATGGAACTTGCCCTCTTCTTTGTTTCTATCTGCTTCGTCCTTATCCACGGATGCTGCAGTGCCTGGGCTGCCGTTGCTCGGACTTTTTGATCCCAAGTTATGCATTTCATTATGAAGTCGATTACCAAGTCAAGTTCTCCATCTGATATTGTAGGATTTTTCTCCTTTATCATAGCCTTGAGGTCTGTGGAGAACGGCTTCCTTTCTTTCTCGCACAAATCTGTTCTGAAATTATCTTCTTCGTCGAAAAACTCTTCTTTTCTCTTTCCTTCTTGAACAAGTTGCTTGGGAGGGGGTCCAAGAAGGGCAATCATCATAGAAAGGATGTCTGCTTCGTTTTCACCTGGGAACAGCGGCAATCCGAGGAAGAGTTCAATCGCCAGAATAGTGAAACTCCAAACATCCATTGGAGGGCCGTATGGTATTCCAAGAATAACCTCTGGAGCTCTATAGAATCTGCTCTGTATGTATTCGTATATTTGATGGTCTTTGAAGCAGGAGGAGCCAAAATCAATTAATTTGACAGTTGAATTGCTGCCATTAACAAGAAGAACATTTTCGGGCTTTAAATCACAATGCACAACGTTAAGCCTATGACATTGATCTAATGCAGATAGGATTTGCAAGCAATATAATCTGATGAGTTTGATTGGAAGGGATTTGAAGTTATTTTGTTCAATAATTTCATATAGATTCTTGGAAAGAATTTCGAAGGTAACGCAGATATGGCTTCTAAAGATAAAGAAGTCATATGCTCGAACAACATGTCGAATTTCGGCTTTGTTCAATCTAGAAAGAATTTGAGCCTCAATACGACCTTGCTCATGCATTTGTTCTGTATTTACGATGACTTTTATCGCAACTTGGCATTTTAACTTATGATCGTAGCATCTAACAACTTGCCCAAAAGCACCGGCACCAAATAATGATAAAATTTCATATCTATATGCTAAATGATCACCAGCAATTAAATTATAATTATTTGAATCATTATCAAAGCCATAATTATATGGATCATCATCGTTAGGAATAATTTTTCTATTTGCTTGACCAACATAATAGACTTCTGGAAAACTTTTTATTTCATCCATCTCGAATGGTGTAAGGAAAAACGAATAACGCATAATTGCATCATCAGGGGATATTGGAGCATTAGATACAACAGGAGAAAGCATTCTAACTGGTCTACGCACACGAGCTGATTGAATTCTGTATCTTGCATTTTGTTTATCTTTTTTCCCTTCAGGTTCACGCGGTGTCTTTTCCCCAGAAGTACCATATTTTGCATTATTTTTATAATGAACATTTGCAGGAGGCTTCACACGAGGTGTTTGCATTGATTCCTGCATTTGTTATCGTTAGTAAATTCTTTCAAAAGTGACAAATAATTACAACAAAGTTTCTTTACATAATGGTGAACTTTGGACATTAGTTAATGTAAAAAGAAATATCTTGTAACGCATTAGTTGGGAGTTCTGTGTTATTAATTCTTCTTTACGTAAAACTCTCAATGTTAAAAAAAAGATGATATACTTAATCAAATGATTTTTATATCTTATTTAGTGTATTCTTCTAAGACATTTGGAATATATTATGAAATTTAATAACTCTATTTTATTTACTTACATTCTATAAAATAATATTAGCTAAGCTGTTTTAAAGAAGGCTGTGATCCTCTTTTGTGGGTTCTTTGGATCATCATATCGAATTTCATATTTCTTTTTTGAAGGAGATGGTTTTGCGGACTTATTCTGCTGCAAAACTCTAGAAATCAAATTTGGCCGTGCATTTTCTAGTTTTGTTATATTTTGTTGGGTGGAGGAGTTGGTATTGTAATGTGTAGTCAAAGACATTTCTGACCGTGAACTTGAGGAAGGCATGGACATTGACCTAGGGATTTCGTTGATTATCTGAAACGGCAGCAATGTATTGGCCGAAATTCTTCCTTTGACTAGGTCAATGAGTTGATTTTCAGACATTTCCGCTCCTAAAAAGGAAGTATCTATAGCAGGAGGTGTAGAAAGAAAAACAAGTTCTTGAGTTAGTGGAGAATATGCCCTTGCACATTTGAATGTTGTTAAAGCTTGATCGAACTTACTATGGTAATCATCAGGAACAGTAAATTTGCTATTAAGTTTGACCATATCAATCACTTTATGGGGATCGTTTTTATCTTTTAGAAATTTTAATGCTGTTTTAGGACCAAGCTTATCAATATGGTCGATATAATCACATCCAGCTAAGATACATAGTGATGTAAATGTATCAGCTGGCAAACCGATTAGTTTCAAAACGTTTTGGAAATCAATTTGAAGAACATGGTAAGTATCATCAAATTTAAGTAGTGTTGTCGGACATTGGTAAGCGATCAAGTCACTATCTTCAGATAATACGGCATCAACGTATCCAGATTTTGCTAAATAGACTAATTGAGCATCTGCTTCGTAAGGAGCAACAAAATACTCTACGGCATTACGTTGGAGTTCTTGAATCCATGTGTGAACAGTTTCCGGAGTAATTGCTACTGCTTTTTGGTAATTTTTGAATGCCTCAGCGTTATTGCCGATCTGTTCGAAATACCGCGCCTTTTCTAATGCTTGTTCTCTCTCTTGTTTTCTTTTTTCTGTTGTAATCTGTTTAGAAGGAAGGTTTTGACCATCAAATATGATAATCGGCTTGATCCCACAGTTTATAATACCATTAACTTTGCTCATTAGATATGGGAGAAGTAATTTAGTTGAAGGATCTTTGATAACTTGCCTAGGATATTTAAATGCAGCTTTATGAAGCCAAACAAAACCATCAATTGCAATTCTCTTACCTTTAAATTCAGTTAAGTGAACACGCCTACCTGCTGGCTGTATAATTGGAAGTAAACCATTAATTCCCATAAATGTTTTCTAATTTTGGCGCCAAATTAAAAAAATCTTCCAAATTTTTGGTTTGCGCGCCAATTCTAATAATGATATCCTTTCGTTTTGATGTAATTAGTAGAACAATTCAGCGAAACAATTTAATAAAGCGTTAACATAAGATCCATAATTCGAAGTAGTAAACTTATCAAATACCATCTTGAAATCAAGAATGATCATCTTAGATCTAAGTGTATGTAAAGCTCGTTTTTAAGAGAATATTGCATGTGGCATACATTTGGAAAGATTCTCACCAATAAAATTTGATTTAATAAATGATTCCTTCGTTTGCTTGATTGAATCTTGAGAGGGAGATAGCGCATCAAATAAGATTAGGATCTCAATTCACTGATATTATAATTACAGATAGAAACTCAATGAATAAAGTAGTTTTACAGGATAACGAATTTGATTGTTTTGATATCCCAATTGGTTTAATGCTATTTAATCTAGTTAGAGAGGAATGGGGAATGTATAAGAATATATCCCTTTAAATATAGATTTATCCAACCAAATTCGATATCAATTGAATGCAAACGTAATCGAATCTTAACAGCATTACAGTTGGCCATGTAAAAAAACTGTTTATCCGAAGCAATAATTAAAATCTTTTCAATTTCGACCAATTTGTCACAAAATTTTACTCTCAAAATTTCAATTATACTATCAAAAGTGAAAATACACGTACTTTCATAATCACACTATAATTTAAACAAAAATTAAATTTGAACGCGTGTCAATTCAATTATAGATTAATTAGAAATCATTGCAACATATGTGAAAATTTAATATTTGCTTTGAGAATTTTTTTCATAAACCGATTAGACAAAATCTACTTTTAATATGATTACTATAAAACATTCTCTTTTGTGCTACATTAAAGCTCACATTAGAAGATTTTATTTTCAAAAGAATTTTTCTCCATGTAAAATTTGACATCACCTCATTTTCTTTCGTTCAGAAACTATATTCCTTTCAAGAATCATGAATAAAATATTAACATGTCAAATAGAACGGGCATTTGACCGACTGGTCGGTCTCTTACATTCAAAGTTTTCAGAGGTTCTCAAATGATTTCAAATAGTTCAATGAAATATACTTTCTTTTAAATTGCTTAAAACATAATCGCTTTAATGGACAAATCAATTCATTGTTTTATCCACATACTTTTCTAATTGCATAAACATCTCAAATTTAAAACGATGATTATATTTCAATATTTTTTTTGATAAAAAAAATTATGTTTCAAGACCCAGCCTTACCTCCGCCAAGAATCCAAGCAACTGATCCATTCATGATGAGACTCTCGTATCAAGATCAGATTGAATACATGAGGCTAGTTCAATATTTCCAATATTCTGATGACCGCAATAAAAGAAATCTTGGATTATCTACATTCGCAAAACATATCTCCTTAATTCATCGTTTTATTTATAGAGGAGATTCTCAAGATACATACCGTGGATTACTTTGCGGCATTGAATTTGGAATTGATTCCCTTTTGATCAATACTTCCCGCCTGAAACATTTAATGTGCAGATCAAAATCTTGCATGAATGGGTGCTTCCAAAAACTAGGTTATGCAATATCAAGACCTGTTCAAGACTTCCAAACGTTATTTTCACAATCGGGATCTTCATTTGATAATGCATTCATCAATCCAAGACAATGGTGTGTAAGAAGGTTACAGGACCCAACAAATGCAATGACCAATTTTCCAGCAATCCTAAGCATACAGTTTGCTGAAGATAACTCAAAGCACTCCGAATCAGAAACAATTTCTCTTCACGATAGACCAAATTCTCTCCCTGCAATTTGGGAAGTTTCTAGTTTATTGAATCATAAATCATTACCTGGACTATCCCTTGGATATTCCCCATGATGGTTTAATTTTACTTTTTTATGCTCAATTTTTGTTTAATTATTTGGGCGCTCATTAGATTTTTATAAACAATTTACGTAATTCTTATTAGAATTTCTTTCATTATTCACAAGTATCACAACATGCAATAAGCAAGTTCATTAGGTTACGAAAATGATAAAAATCAATAAAACGATAAATCACTGTCAGTTTTGTTTTGAAACTGCCATCAAGAAAGGATCATTCCTGATCGTAATTTTCTAATCCACAATATATTAAAAAAAAACTATTTTTTTTTCTCTGATGGAAGAACAGAAAACCATTGTTAAGGTTGTAATAGTTGGTGACGCAGATGTAGGGAAATCTTCTATTGTCATTAGATATGCTGAAGGCCAGCACAATCCTAACATTAGTCCAACATTAGGAGCTGCATGCTTAGAAAAAGAAGTGTTTTATTCTGGACAAACATATGTTCTCAGTATGTGGGATACGGCTGGCCAAGAGGCCTATCGAAATTTAGTACCTATGTACTTCAGAAATTCTCAAATTGCTATAATTGTAATAGATGTCACAACTTCAAAGCTTGTATCTAGTTTTGAATATTGGTACTCGCTTATACAGGAAAATTGTGAAGAAAACATCCCGATTTTACTGGCTGCTAATAAAATTGATAAAACAGACGAAAGAATTATTTCCAATGATGACCTTTCAGCACTGGTCGCCAAGTATTCGATTCCATTTTTCGAAACTAGTGCCGTCACAGGAGTCGGAATCTCAAGTTTATTTGAACAAGCACTATCAGAATTCTTTAAAAAAGGAGTTTCAGCTTCGCAAAATGTCGATGTTAAAAAACTACAAGAAAAACAATCGGGCTGCTCTTGCTAATTTTAATTTCATTTCATTTCCGGCTCATTATTTGTTTCTTCATTTCAAAACTAACATAATTATTGTATTTTACAAATATATATATATGCATATATTTATTTATTAAATGGGGAGAAGCTTCCTAAACTTTTTAATCCCATAAATATGGTCATTATCTGGAATAAAGAGTTAAGCGTCATATGTCACTTTTTGTACTAAGGAAACATCGACTTTATGCGTTATGACTTTTCGATGAGGAAACAAGTGTTCACGTATTATAAACTTCCTTATTCCAATAAACCGACCCTAAACATAATTAATTCTAAGCATGATAATGGTCTCTTTTCTATGATAACCAAATCAATTTGGTTATCATAGTAAAGCACCAAAAACTGGAATAGGAATAACCGCACTTAAACAGGAATAGGCAGTGTGGAAACTAGAGAAGACTCAACTGATTTTTTAAGCAACTCTTCTTGCCGATTCAAATCTGCTTTGCTAATCATTGTATATTACTATATTCTGATTAGGATACTTTAACGCTTGATGCATGCACATCATTCTTTTAGCTGATTTCTAAAATACAATCTTCTATTAACTTTGAAATTTCTTCAAAAGTTATAGTAATTCCATAGTTCATTCGTAAAATGTTATTAAATAGCTCTGACTATTCCTTTGCACGCAAAATGAGGTAGTATTTTTTGAATTTTTTACTCAAAATAAAACAAAATCTACCCAATTTTATACCACTAAAGCCTATATTGACACACACATATATAAATCTCTATTGTTATAAGATAAATTTGAAAAAATAAATTTTTTTCCTAAAATGTAAAATTATACTTGTATTCAAAGAAAGTAGATCGTTTATAAGGAAGGTATTATATATTTGGGGAGAAAATCCCTTACATATACAAAAATATGAAAGAATATTCAATCATCAGGAAAGAGCTTAGTACTAACCATTTGTGAGACGTTCATATAATATCTTTTTCCTTTTTGGGGTTTTTAATCGGATTATCCATTTCCCTGCATTGACTTTAATTCATTCTTGATGATCTGAGTATACATGATCATTATCGAACGTTTGCCATACTCTTCCATAGTTAATGATTGCTGAAAAATGAATAGTACTGAATAACAGCTGGAATTTCATAAGTATTTTGCGTATTTATACTGATTTAAACATGAAATACTCATACAAAATGCAAAGTTTTTAAAAACAATCAATAAAAGATTTTAAATTAGATAAAATATCATATGTCACTTCTTTTTTCATCTGGATAATAAAATTGATAAATTTTTTTCTAATTAAAGATAAAGATGCATTTATAGTAGTAGAAAATTAATTTCTAGACTAAAGCTTGTTTATTGTCACCGTTTTAAGTCTAAATTTATAGGAAATGGTTATTTTATTATGCATTAAAAGTTCTTCTATAAAATTAACATTAAAATCATCTTTCGCCTAAGAGTAATAACAAGGTTATGCAAATTTTATTGAAAATAGTACGAGAATTTTGTTTGAAAATATAATATGGTTAAAAATAGGGAATGGATGTATGAATGTTCCATATTTATTTTATCCGAGTTGCTTCATGATTCCATATTGCCGATTCCTATTCCAGTTTTTGGTGCTTTACTATGATAACCAAATTGATTTGGTTATCATAGAAAAGAGACCATTATCATGCTTAGAATTAATTATGTTTAGGGCCGGTTTATTGGAATAAGGAAGTTTATAATACGTGAACACTTGTTTCCTCATCGAAAAGTCATAACGCATAAAGTCGATGTTTCCTTAGTACAAAAAGTGACATATGACGCTTAACTCTTTATTCCAGATAATGACCATATTTATGGGATTAAAAAGTTTAGGAAGCTTCTCCCCAATAAATGTCCTTTCATATTTCTTTAATTACTCTTATATCATTTTTAGGCCACAGGTTCATTTTACTTTATATTAATTTCTTAATTCTATTCTCTATAAGATTATAGCAAAAAAAATTCAATATAGCAGATTTAAAAAAATTGCTTAAAGGGATAAAAAAGACAGAAAACAAGATCACATATATACAGTAAATTATAGATACACACTTCGAGAACTTTGAGATAAGAAATTATGTAAATCGGAAGTATGCACAATTCCGATATAAGTGGCTTAGATGATTTGTTCATTCTGCCAAATTCTTGTGTCTAGTCATGCATATCTCTATAAAGATTACTCGCATATATTTTATCAAATTCAAAATCTAACAAGTAAGTTTACTAAACAACAATAATATATTAACTAAATAAAAATTGGCAATCATTCTCTCATGCTTTTTCATCAAACTCAGTGTAATAAGTTTTCATTTGCTCTTTCTCAACAGTTTCCTTGTATTTATTAAGTACATCGCTATAATCATACTTTGATCGCTCAAAGAACGATGATTTCCCTTTTGTCATTAAAATGCTGTTCTTATTTGCGTTTCTCTTCGTTTTCAGTGGAATACTAATACTATTTGCATCATTAACTTCTTTGGGCTTCCAAAATCTCTCGTCATTAGTCCATTTTGCTGTAGATTTATGAATATTTTCATTCAGCATTTCATCATCTTCAAATTTAAATGGCTTAATTGATTCCTTGAACAATTTGATTCCAATATTAGTTGTACAGGATTTTCCTACTTTTTCTTCATTGTCACTTTTTGGTTTTTGTAAAGTTTCTTTCATCCTTTTTGTTTCAGTATCACATTGCCTGTTGTAGAATTCATCGAATTCTCGTTTAGTGATTCGTCTAGATTTATTTTTCGATACCTTCTTCTTTTTGGGAGCTGAGAGGCGCTCATTCGTAGGAAGCGACATAGTTCGGAGAAAATGATTTGAAGGATTTGGAGGCATCCGGAAGTAGCTCTGCGGAATAAAAACTTCTTCATTATTTGAGCTGATTTGCTTCGAATCAGATGCCTTTTGCTCCCTTCTTATACCTGTAATTTTGTATTTATTGGGCTGAACTTTAAAAATCAATGATTCATTGTACATACGCTCTTCTTTGGCGGCATTTTCAGCTTCTTGCTTCCATTTATTAAGGATTTCTTCCCTTTTTAAATTATAGTAATCTGAATCTTTTGGATTCAAGGTTTCATTGAGTTTTGATATCTGTATATCTACTTTTGATTGCGGAGCCTTTGAAGTAACAATTTTATCAGATAGTTCCTGTTGTTTTGAAGCAGTTTTTGTAGATTTAGACGAAGGAGTTGTATTTTGATAAGAATAAGTATAGTCTCTGGTGTAAGAGTATGTATCATCAGAGTTTTGTGTATATTCTGTGTTTTTTTCTTGGTTTGACAAAAGATCCGATTTTTGTGATAATTTGAAAGAATTTTTGGAACTTTCATGGTTTGTCAAAATGTGCGAATCAGACTTTAACCCCGATTTTACAGATTTTTTCTGTGAATTGCAAGATTTGTTTGAGCCGCGTGACGATTCATTTAATTCAGATAAATTATGAGAGCTGATATACAAAGGGCCCACGAAGTCCATTTGTTTTTGCGCCTTTTCTCTTTTTATCACTGATTGTTTAGAATTTTCGGTTTTTTGTTGTTTTACCGAAATTGGTATATTGGATTCTGAATTTCCATCAGAGGCGTTTAATTTATCTTTACCTTTTATGACGTTTTCGAAAGGTTGTGATTCTAAATCTTTTTCATCTTGTAAGAATTTCCATGAAGAAACAGAAGTCTGAGATTTTAATGAGATTTTGTCATTCTTTTGTAATTTCTTTTGATTGTCATTGTCTTCTTTTTTAATTTTATTTAGAGACTGAATTGTTTCAGCAGATTCTTCAGGGTTCTCGTATTCTTCTATTGCATAATACTCAACAGTTGTATATTCGTTTAGAAAATTTTGGTTTGATGAGTTTTGGAAAACATTTTGCAATTTGCTTGAATAATTATTCAAATTTTCGATCATTGCATCATTGTCTTCAACATAATCGAGATATTTGCTGGCGTTGTTCGCTCTGTGCCTTGAATTTGCGAATTTCTCCATAATTTCGAAAGTTTACAATTTGACACTTTTATTTTGAGACATTCCATCAAATACGATTGATATAGAGCCTCAACAAGAATAAATATTATTATATAGAGAGATTTCTTATTAAATGACTACCCTTCGGTTAATTTATAATTCAAATGAAGAATAATTAAAAGGTAACTAAACTCCTTTCGCCGATCCGATTTGCCCCATATTTAAAATATAGCTTGCATATGTAGAAGAAAAGCTAATTTTGAAGTACGCCCCAAATCCACCAACAGGATTTCGAGCTACTAAAAAGGTACTTTTAAATGTGATTTTTTTTATAAAAAATTAAATTTATTTTAAGATCAGACTAAAAACTAATTTTATGGAAAATCTATATCGACAAATTTATTACTTATTGGGTATATAGATTTTTTGATTATGGCGATTATGTCTGATATGCTTCCAATAAGCCAAAACACATTTCATACTGATTTCTATAAAAGGTATCTTTATTATAGAAGTGTAAGCTATATCTGTTTGTTTTTTTATTATAACAAATTCAAAATTCTCTTATAAGGACTAGATGAAATCTGTATTATTAAATCATTAGCTAAATGAAGGTTCAAATAGAAAGTAAATATCAATTTATATGATACTGAAACCAAATAGTTCTTTTAATAAAAGATAACACGCTGAAAATTATTGAGTATTTGCAAATCTCAAAAATCTATTGGTGAATTTGGCTCAACTTTTAAAATTATAACATCCATATCAAATCATAAAAGCAGACAAAAATTAAAGCCAAACCTATCGGCCAATTTTTTTTTTGATATTTTGATTTTTGAGGTATACTTTTAAAAGTGGATTTAAAGCACTGATGAAAAAACATTAACTTCTGTCGTTATGATTATTGATTTAGACAATAATGATTTTAATCTTTGATTATCAAAACACTAAAGTCATCTTTTTAACATTTGCTTGGTAGCATTAACTCAAGTCTAAAGTACTATTTTATGTGGCACTCTTAGAATTTTTGTATTCATTGTACACGCTGAAATAATACCATTAAAGTTATGGCGGACTTTCAAAAAATAGTTTGGTCACCTTTAATAATTATTTAATATTTTGGGAAATTCTTAAAGATTACATTGGTGCAAATTTATCAAAGATAAAAATAATATATGTGGCTTCTCATCATAAATAGCTTTGCTTTTAAATTCAAATTAAAAAAAAAATAGAATCAATAAAAAATACATCAACTCTGAGCCAATACTGGTACCTGTGGAATTAAATCACTAAATGATTTTTAATATATTTGCATATCGATCATTTTATGTCTTTATTTTTAAATGGAATTACTATCATTGAATCATTTGTTTGCTTCAAACATAGAGATTGGAATAATGCATGATTTTATGATGTTATAATAATTGATTCAAAAAAACAAAGAATGAGGAGTTCTGATATTTGACTATTTTAGATGTTTTTTCAAGATATTAGACTTTATATGAATGATGAAATTTAAGGTGTAATATCAAAATCCAATAAATTCATTCTGAGTAGGATTAAAAGGCAATAAAAAAGGAAAACAAAATCAATATTAGAGAAAAACAAAACATTTAAAACAATTATTGCTTCAAAAGAAACTAATTCTATTAAAATGATCTAAAAAAATTAGACCTGGAATGTACTTTCCATCCAGTCTTCAGCGGATGCTTGATCAAACTGGAATAATTCGAATGGATCGTTAGGGAATTTGAAGAAGAGTTGATCAAACAACTTATTCTCATTTTGGTCAATTGGGCATGCTGGGGCAGCTACTTCAACTTTTGCCTCGACATAATTTTCATTCTTTATTGGCTGGGGTGCTGGAGTAGTAGATTTTTTCTGCTTTTGCTTTTTGAGTTTATGACTTTGGCGAAGTTCATGTCTTTGGCGTAATTTGAATCTATTTCTAATAGCATTTCCACTTCTGTTATTAAAGAATTCAGATATCTTATGCCACCTTGAACCAAATTCAAGACATTTTTCGTCGAGTAGCTTATCTTCTTCCTCAGTCCATGGATCATTTCGTAATTGAGGGCTAATGTAATTAATCCATCTTTCGCGACACTGCCTTGGTGTCCTATTTTTCATCTCAAGACTGATTAATCTCCATGACTTGGTACCAATCCTTTCGATGATTTCAGTGAGACGTTCATCTTCTTCGAGCGTGAATTTAATCTTTGGAACATACGCACGCATATTCTTATCAGACATTAAAATGAAATGAATTAAATATTGCATTGAAATTAACGAAAGAACGTGCTTTTACAATTAAAAGTCCAAAATGAGGAAATTTAATTAAGTATAGTGATACCAAGAATATATTATTTTTATTCTTTGCAAACAAAACTCAAATTGAAAGCATATCAATGCAGTTTTGAAAGCTTAATTCCTATGCGGCACGTTTGGAATTTGAATACAAGTTTTGAAACAAGGTTTTATTAATAATTTATGGAAATGTACAATATAGGGTATATATTGATTAATTAAATTTATGAAAAGGTAAAGCGGTTTCTCATTTTTGTATTCTTTTCGTAAAATACTCAAAAAATTTGAATCCTTTTTCATAACTTATTAATGTAAATCTTTATTGCTTAAAAGTCAATCAAGAGTATAACGTAGTTGAATGGGGATTGAAAGCAATTTTTCAATGTGAATATTGAATTAGTTTTTTTGAAATTGAAAACTTGGATTTATGAAATAAATTACATTCAGAATATTGCAGTAATAAAATTCATTATATATAAAATTGAAAAGTGGATTACGAAAGTCTTTGATTCGTTATCTCTTATTTTTATTACCGATATATGTTCTTTTCGAATACGTTCCATATTTTGAGTTATCATAACAATGATTTGAATTGTTCTTAATGCAATTTAAAAACTGATATATACTCTAAACAATATATATATTTTCAAAGGTACATTCACTATTTTTGACAAAATTTTAAATTTTCATGGGGTTGTAAATCTTATAATAACTAGATGAATAAGGAATAAATCCCAGTATGATGTGCATCATTATATTAAACACTATATGTAAGGCTGGTGATTCTATTAACACTTATGAAGATCTATAGTATTTGAGCAGATAAATTTGATAATTTCCAAAACTCTTATATTTCAAAATTAAAGTGTGCGAATGCATTTAAATGAGAGCAAAAAGAGAATGATGCTGCTAAAACTAGGTGTTAAATTCCAATTATTTCGCATCACAAGAACTACCCAGTAAATTCGGCCATCTTTTTTTGCAATTATTCTCTATTACACATATAATATAATGGTTAGGGTTTGGGGAAAAGTTACTAGAGAATTATTGACTTTTGAAATAATGCAGAATTTTACTTGAAGAAATCATTAATTTATGAGTTCCAAATTGCTAACCATGACGAAAGATCATTAAATTTGCTGCAATTAAATACATTTATTGCAGAATTAAGATTATTGAAATTAAAAATTTGAAATATTGCCTTTTTGAATAAAAATTTAAATTTGATTATATAATCATGATAATATATTAGAGAAATTAAAAGAAAATATTTTAAACCATTCAAATATTTTGAATGTCTTATCAATTCAAAATATTAAAAGATTGCTTGATTTTATCATCATTAGTTGTTATCAAAGTTTTCTTCTTTTGATGAACAACAGTAAATGATTTGTTAATACCTTGTCTTCCTTTTACGCAGCAAAATCAAAAGTTATGATGATAATCTTGTACTCAATTTTGAAACTCTCTGATTTACAAGTAAGCATTCCTTTGGAAAAGCAGTCCTATTCTGTTTTCAAGATATTTTAAAGCCCCCATTTCATATAATGCGCAGATCTATTCGAAATTGCAAGAACTCTCAAGAAAAATGCTGCAGCAAAGAAGATTCCAAAGTTCCTAGCATCAAAAATTTACAACCTTAATACAACAGTTCAAGAGAAGCTCGATAAGAAAATATTTAACCATAAAGCTGGATACCATTCGATATTTACTATTGGATCTAATAAAAAGTTAATTGTAACATATTTTACATGCTATTTGCTGACTCTGTTCCATTAGATTACCATATATCTGTTTGAAATCTAAAAAATTTTTACGATTTTAATCATGTGTTGTTGAAATCATATACCATTCTTAGCTAAAGTATAGTTTATGGGTCTGTCACCATCTAACTATATGAATTTTCAAAAATGTCAAATATGTTCATTTTTTCTGTATATTCAGCCACAATTTCATGTAGTTGTACTATTCAACTATTATTTAATAATTTTATCGATTTAAATATATGATGAGATGCTTAGTTCTCCCGGAAATCGATTTTTAATCACAATTTTAACTGTCCAAAAAAAATTCGAAAATAAAAATTCGTCTCAATTTTCTAAGTTTTCTAACTCGCCAAATCTCTAGCCAAATTTTTTTTGGCCCGTATAAATATTTTTAGGCACTATATAGGGATGCTATTTATCCTATCTTCATCCCATTTTATATTTTCTAAATTATTTCATAAAATCATTTTGTGAAACTCTGAAAAGTTATTTTTCATTTTGTGCAATCATATTTCTACTTTTACTCATTAGTGCTTTTTAATATTTCATATAAAATACTTTTTGAGACAGTTAACGGTTAAAGCCAAAGATTCACTTTTTTATTAATTAATAATATCATATATCAATTAACTTAAAATTTGGCGCTTCACAATTAATCTCATTGAAATATTTGTATTATTATTTTAAATTTGATAACTCTCTAATTTTAAATACTAAAAAATGCTATTCTAGTTATTTATCGACATATTATTACCTCCATTTTTAGCCTACTTTATATCTCACTAACACTTGAAATTTTTTTTTAAACTTCGATATTTTATACTCACAAATATTACATTAATAATTTTTCTTTTCATTTTCGTTATTCATAATCACCCATCTCAATTTCCTATTAATTCTTTCATATAATCGTAACCCTCTATATAGTTTATTACTTGTAAATTATTCAAACAATTTCTCATCATTAAGGGTGCACCCGTATGTACGTTTATTTGAGAGGAGGATTACCCTCTCAATTTTGAGGGATTCGTTAGTTTATTTTCTCGATGAATATGCAATAAAATTTGATTTTTACCTTATCAATATACTTCATATAATATACACATGTTCATGTAAAAACTTTTTTCCAAAATCCTCAGGAATTAAGGGATTTTTGAATTTTAAGAATTTTTTTCGAATTTTTTCGAAAAAAAAAATATTTTCAGAACAGCCTTAACGGCTAAGATTTAGGAACAATGTTAAGTATCAAAAAGAAAGGAGGTCTGATATAGACAACATATATCGTTGAAGGTTGAAAAAATCTCTAATATTTGAGCCCAAAATTTCAAATTTTAATTTTTTGAAAAAAGAGGCCACCCGTATGTACGTTTATTTGAGAGGAGGAGGATTATATTTTTGAAAGGGTGAAACATTATGAATATGTTAATTATATAATAATATGTATTATTATAAAAAAGAAAAAATAAAGCACGTTAAAATTTAAATTAGAGATTTTTTTTATTTATCACAAAACTAGTGAATTCATCATTCCTCATTCAATAGTAATTTTTCTTGTTCTAATTCTTTAAAATCAACATAATGATTATTTAGAACAAATAATTCAAGAATATCCAATCATAATTATGGCTCAATTTTATATTTATACATCCAAATCTAGATCAATTAGCTAATTTACATAATTATATCTACTTTATTTCATACAAACACACAAAAAAAGAATTAAAGTTTGAAAAACTCATGTTCTAGCGCGTCTGCAGCCGATATACGCTTGCTAGGGCACGGCTCAAGCATTTTTGCCAAGAGATCGAACACCGTTTCGCTTACATTCAATTCGTTGAAGTAGTGATTTAAATTATGGACTAATTGGGGAATTGAATATCCTTCTTGCTCTGCTGGGAATCTCAGCTTCCTGCCACATTCATGAGCAGCTACATGCAATCTTGAGGTACCAATTATGGCTGCTATCTCACATATTGATGTCAAATCATCTGGAGACCTAAAAAAAGGATATCTCTGTGTTAACAGAGAAAGAAGAATTACTCCTGCACTCCAAATATCTATCAAGCAACTTTGGTTGAAGTATGCAAATAAAACTTCTGGCGCTCTAAACCCTCTCGTTCCTTCTCTATTAGCAACCATTTTATCTCTTGTCTGGCATTTCTGCGGGTAGTTAAGTTCGAAATCTGTTTCTGGATCTATTTGAGTTTTTGGTAAGATGGGTAATGGAACATGCGTTTCTTCTTCACAGAGGCCAAAATCAATAAGACATCCATGACCAGATTCTGGATCAAATAAAAAGTTTGCAGGTTTCACATCGCGATGAATTACTTGTTTGCTATGGAGATATTTTAATGCCTCAAGCAATTCACGCATGTAATTTTTTATAATAGTGCCATTTAGTTGAGGTATAAGAGTCCTGAATGGAATGTGAGGCACATATTCCATTACTAAAGTTGCTTGATCTTGATTTCGATAAGTTCCGTAAAGTTTTACGATATTTGGATGATCTAAATTTTTAAGCCATCGAATTTCTTTGACTATACGATCAGGAGAGTTATTCCAAAATAATTTTTTTAGCGCAAAAACCCTATTATACTTATCAACAGCTTTAACAACAGTAGAAAACGATCCAGCACCAATAGTGCACTCAACTGTGAAATCATCATCAGAAAGTTTATGCTTTTCTTCTGCCATTATAAACAAAATGAATAATTAACATCTGAATTAAACAAACATATGTATGTGAACTCTTCCATACATTACTCTCATTTGTTAAAGTATGAATTTTGAAGAATTATTGATGAAAAATTAGTCTGCAAATTATATTAATAATTCTCATACATGATCATTAAAGTATTCAAATATGGTAGTTAATTCATCCATATATAGTTTTTTTTTAATGATTTTTTGGGGCGAAACATGAGCGAAATAACGATAGATCTCTCAATGCATGATCACCAAACACTCTAAAAAGTCTGACAATGGAGAATGTAAAATATTGACACTTTTTTGTGCTCGTTTTTTTTGCTTTCAAAAAATGTCTGATGAGAAGGACTTTTCCGAGGTAGATAATGATAATTTAGATGATCTCGAGAAGGACTTCACCAAAATTATGGATCAGATAGCTTTAGATGAAAATTTAAACAAGTTTGGCCAACAATATAAACAATTACACGAAGCTTTCTTAACATCGCATAAGAATAACTCAGAATTGATTGACAGATGCAGACGCTTAAACAATGAAATTGTTCAAAATTCAACGCGAGTGAATTCAGTGTTGAAATTGAGTCAAGATGATCAAAGAACTATCGCTGGATTGAAATTCGAGTTTGACAAAGCCTGGAAAATGGTAGAAATGTCTCAAGAAAGAGAGCAAAAATCAAGAGATGTCATTGAATCTTTGAAAGATGAAGTTACAAAACTCGGAAAATTGGCAGAAGAAGGTGGTGCACAATCATTTATGGAAGAAAACTCGTTAGAATCTATACAAAAGGATATTAATGCACTTAAAAGTGAAATTTCTTTACAAACAACTCAATTAAATTCATTACAAACAGATAATGATAGCTGGAAGAAGAAAACGGACGAAATGAAAAAATATACTTCAACACTATCAGATGAAGTTGATAAAATTAATACAGAACTTACAGATTTGCGAGAACAGACTAAATCAGTCGAAGTCGAAGTAAAAGGTCTTATGGACGATGTTCAAAATACGCGCGATGCTATGCTCAATTCTCAAAAAGAAATTCAAGGTTTTTCATCAAAATTCTCAGATAAGCAAAAACTCATCGAATACATCAAAGTTCAAAAGGAAAATGCCAGGAGAGAACTAAGAGACTTGACAGAGCTCAAAAATGATTCAATTGCCCGTCTTTCCGTTGCGAAGAAAACTTTAGAGTTGAAAAGCAGTTTTTCATCGAAAGTTCAACGAGATATCAACGATCTCAAGAGCAACATCGATGAGAAAGACCAAGACAAGTCGAGCTACGACCCTTCAGTCAAAGATGTCGACCAATCAAATGAAGTTTCGTCTAAAGAGCTCCAGGATCTCCAGCAGTACAGAGAACAAGTTCGTGCTGAAATCAACAAGATGCGAGACAGGATCAGTGCCTGCAGAAGTGAAATTTTCCGACTCCAACACGATTTGCTTCGTTCAGAAGGCGAAAAGAACTACACAAAGCGATCGATCTCCCTCGGCCAACACCTAGGAAGCGTCGCCAAGGCTGAGGTCATCCAGGAGAAAAAGAATCGCGAGGCAGAGGAAGGAGCAACGGCAACTGTGTTCATAGACATCACGAATACAATGATACAGAAGACAAACAGCGAGGAAAAGGTCGAAGACATACTCCACGAGATAGAAAGACACTCTGCAAGCGCATCTCAATACAGATCGGAAACAATGACCGTGGAATACCAGCTAAAGGACTTCGAAGAAACAAGAAAATCCTTAGAACTGCAACTGAACGGAATTCAGTCAAAAATTCAAAGATACGAAACTTTACAAAATTCATTAGTTGAACAAAGGGACTTAAACCGCCGCCAACTTGAAGTTCTTAAGATAGAAGGCAAAAAGATCGAAGAAGAAAACGTCCTTCTTCAGAATGACATCCAGAATTCTAAAGAATTAATCCGACAGAAGGATCTCCAGTGCATCGAAGTCCACAAGCAGTGCGAGGAGATCAAGGAGAGTCTCCCTGCGATGGAGAGAGAGAACCAGCAGTCACAAGCCGCTCTGAAGGAAATGACACTCCAGATTTCGACGAAATACAACGAACTCGTCAGGTCGCGCTACTACAGGGATGTTGCCATCAGCGGCATGAAGGAGATCCTCATCGCTGTCAACTCTCTCTCCAACGGCAAACACGCTCACGAGTCTAGAATCAACCTGAAACACGACGAGTCAGAGAAACTTCGCGAGAAAGTCAAAGCTCTCGAGTGGCAAGTCTCCTACAAGTCGTCAATGTACAACGACGCCGTGGAGAAGGTCGAGGAGCTGAAGAAGACACTTATTTCGGAAGTCTCTCGCACAAAGAAACTGATGGAGCAGACGCAGCACTCCAAAGCACTCTTCAAAGAGTCGCTGCAGGCGGAGAAGCAGCTGCTCACACTCCGCGGCAGAGTCAGAGCTCTCGAGGACGAACTGGAGACGCCGATGAACATCCACAGATGGCGCTTCCTGGAGGGCACAAATCCAGAACTGATGCAGCTGATCAAGATGACACAGTCTCTGCGAAACACTCTGATGCTGAAGATCGCAGCCAGCCAGAGAGTGAGAGAGATGCTGGAGAAGCAGAAGAAGATGAACGAACTGGAAGTGAAGAAGCTCTCCCACGAATCGAAGGAGGAGCAGGAGGCAAAGATAAACTACTACAACGACGTCCTCCAGACAAAGAAACAGCAGCTGAAGATCGTCGAGCAGAACTACAACATGCAGACACCTGTCGTTGTGGAGGGAAGAGACTCTGTTTCCGCTGTAAGGCAGCAGTTAAGAGACGCAAAGCTAGAGTACTTCGCGCAGAAGCAACAGAACGAACAGCTAAGGGCATCGTCATCAATGACACAGAAAGTTACAACTCTGCTTCCAGATTCAAAGCCGAGATTCGTGGGTGGAGGTTTCGTCACTTCTTCGGCATCTCCACAGCCAATTGTCAACAGCCCTCTCTCGCCAACGCTGAAGACTTCCCTCCTCAGAGTGCCAAAGAAGAAGAACCAGATGTCTACACACGCACTGGCACCGTTGACAAAGGCTTTGCAGCCACTTGCACCTGTTGTTGAATAAATTGTTTTTGTTTATTTTTTTGTTTGTTAATAAAATGATATATATATTTTTGTGTCTGTTTCGAATCACTTTATATCGACTTAATTATTGATTCATAGAACTAAATATCTGAAAGAATTAATAGTATAGTAAACCTATAAATAAAGTATTTACATATATTTAATGATAGAAAATAAATAATAAAGTTAGACTTTCTAAAAAAAAAATAATAAAAACTTGTAATTAGAGATGTGCATATTCATCTCTTGGTTTCGATGATGAGCAGAACCTAACAACAAGGTCAACGATAATTCCGATAGCCAAAATAACAGAGCCGATGATATATCTAGTTGCAGGAACAGCATCGCCACCTAATAATTGGACACATGCGGCATCTGTCTCCTTTGTTTTGTGAGTGCATGTTGTACTGTTTGCATATGTGAGAGAGACGCATTTATGTAATTCTTTCTTTTCTCCGAAGCAGTAAAAGCATTCATTATCATGCTGCATGCATAAAAGACATGAGCTGTTGTATGCAGAGCATGGATCTGGTGTGTCACCAGCCCTAACAAATCCCAATAAAATGGTGAGCATTGAATATGTCACGTTTTTTATCGTAAGATTACTTTGATTCGATAGTTTCAATGATTTAAAATCAGAAAATGAATGAACATATCTATATCTTAAAGAATTCAAACAAAAATCTGCATTGCAATGATAATTTTAAATTAATTTATAAAAACAGAAGAAAATTGGAACCACTTCTGCTTGGCAAGAATTGCAATTACCATAGTATCTCTATGTGATTACACCGCATTAAAAAAATATATATAATATGGAAATAAACATATATCATTTATTAACTACGACCAATGCAGTTACATAAATAATATGACAAATACAAATAAAAATAAAATATAATAAAAATCCGTCAAAGAAACGCAACGGAAGTACCTAGAACATCCATTACATTTCCCTTCTGTCCGAAATTGGAGATTCCGAACGCAAACGATGGCGCGTTCTCTTTATCTTTCTCCATTCTCTCGAGTTCGTCCTTCAAGCTCTGAGGAACGAACGCCGACCTTGCTATTGCATGCTGGTACACCTTGTAGTTCCTCTTTATGTCTTCTCTTACACCTTTAATCATTTCTTCGAATTCTTCCTTAAAGAACTCTTTTCCGACTTTCCTAAACCTGAAGAACACTGTTCCTTGGTTTCCTTCTGAATTTATGAACTTATCCTGAAGCTGAGCGAAATTTCCGTACAATCCGTGGTCCAGCATCTCAAGGCGGGCGTATTCGACGAATATATCGAGGTACTGAGGTGTGAACACGTGTGCGAAATCCAAAAACAGCCGTGCATCTTTGAGATTGAAGTAGGGACTCAAAGGATTCAAAGAAATTCTTGCTCCTTCTAGCCACACTTCTCCTGATTTCGGAGCAGCATGTATTGCATTGATAAATGCTTCCACCTGCTTCTCAGGAGATTCCAATTGAATTCTCAGAGCTAAAAGCCTTCCGTTGTCTGGCATGGAAGAGAGGACATTGTTGAGAGCTCGAATTGCATCAGGTATGTGCTTGTGTCTGGATAAGAACAGAATGTATTCGAGGTGGGAGTGCCAATCTTCCGGATAATTCTGAACAACTTCCTTGAAAATTCTGTTTGCTTCGGCTGTTGCATTCTGGAAGCCGGAAAGCTCTTGTATTTTCGCTCTGAATATATGGAAAGGAAGTTGTGACTTTTTCTGGCAGAAATTGCGGCCTTTTGCCAGCAAAAGCTGTACGAACTGCATTTCGCTGTGTATGAATGATAAAACGGCCGCGTCGTAGAAAAGTCTTGATTTCTGATCTGGTGGGGAAATTGCGATCGCATGAGCGAAAACGTTATGGGCTGATTGCGGATCTTGAAGCGCCATCAGTGTTGTAGCAAGTATTGGAGCTAGTCTTGGTCTGGACATCTGAGATGTCTCTGAAGAATTTTCGTAGACGTTTATCGCGTCGTTTTTATTGGATTGGTATTTGATTGCGAATCCGCATAAAGCGAACAAAGAAGGAACTTCCTTAAAACCTGTTTCTGAGAATTTTAGAACTGAGTCTTTTAATCCTCTCCTGGAACAGTACTCGACTATCTCGTGGTATATGTTGCCCTTCCATTCAATAGATGTCTCCGCGCATTTGTTTACGAGAAAGAGTGCTGAATCTGATGGTCCGTGGCGGATTTCGAACAACGCGCCTTCAAAAAGAGCTGCTTGGTTTCTTTTGTAGGCAACGGCAAGAACAGCTCGGGCCTTCTTCAAAAGATTACGGCGTTCAAGGGATTTGAGCATTTTTGAGAGAATTGTTGTGTTAAATTCCGTCTGATTCAGAGCATTTAGCAAAACTTCGTCCTCTTTCTCGAAGTTACCAAGGTCATTGAGTAATTTCGCAGCCTCTAGAGGGAATGTGATGTTTGTTGGATCGAATGTTGATCCAAAGGTGAGAACATCGATTGCCTCGTTGTATTTTGATTGCTTTTTGTTGATGTCAAATGCCGAACGAATAATCTTCGTGATTTCTGCTTTGTCGGTTGATTGACGGAGAAATGCATTTAAAACATTTTTGGCGCCTTCTGGATCATCAGAACAAACAGCTGATACATAAGTGTTCATGTTAGGGTAAGCACCTGGATCTAATATATCTTGCATCCAGTCTGGTAAATAACGTGGATCATAATCATCACACGTTTTGGCGAGTTTTGGAAGTTGAAGTGGTGAATTTCTATTGAGAGCATTCGCATCAGAGAGAGAACGTGGTGGAAGTTGAATCGCAGGAATCCATAATTTTGGAAGCTCGGAAAAATTGAAGTTAACATATTCTGAAACGGCACGCTTCCTCATTGCATAAGAATCTGCTGAAGTATCATCATCCACCACGTCACTCCACGATCCTTGCGAAAATCTTGACAATTTAGTTAATTCGCCCTCAATTTTTTTCTACAACTTTACAAGCGGTTATTTTCACTTCAAAAAACCGTTTAAATATTTGCAATTTTTGCCAATGATTTTTAAATAGATCTTATAGTCAGTGATTTCACATACTTGGATTAGAAAAATCGGTTTTCAATTGAAAGGAATTTCATGTTTAGAAAAAAATGATCATCCTTCTAAATATACATTTGTTCTAATAAATGTGACGTTCATTATAAGAGTAAAAAATGTTATCATATTGTGAAGTAATTGGGAATTTTCGATTGGTTAGGCACAACATCTGGATTCTATGTAACCGTTGCAATGGAAAATATACGTTGATGAGATAAGATTCTGATCTTATTTTTGTCATTGAGCATTATTTAGGTCCTCATTAATCATTTTGTTTTTAATATTCGCCCGATTTATTCCCGAAAGGTCCAAAATCATCAAAGAAAAAAAAAATTCATTCGTCTAAAAAAGGGAGAATATTTATATATTTAAGACTAAGTTTGCATTTCATAAGGCTCAATTTTAAAATGCAATTGTGATTCTTATCTTGTGTATTTTTTTTTAACCATGAATGAAGAATCATGATAGAGTTAATCAAAAAGCATGTTCCATGGATGAAAAACGCAAACAACTACCATTTGTTTAATAAACTCAATGTGAAAAAGTATTATTTTTATAAAATACAAAGAAAATATATAAACATATATATATATATATAAAACAACGTATAATAAAATAACAAATATATATTAAGAATGGGACAAGTATTTGAGAGCTTTGGCTACTTTCTCAGGGAATTCCCGTAACTGCTCATCAGTTATTTCTCTCTTAGTTTTGGCCTGAGATAAAGTCTCAAACTTGAGCATTGCGTTGACTACTTTTGCAACCAAATTTGGAGAGACTGCGCCAAGTTTCACATCGCTGAATAGAACAGAAACCCAAATATCCAAAGTGCTTGTTTTGTTTACAGATTTCGAGACTTCGCACATCAAATTCAAGAACTCGCAGACGAATGAAGACCTGTTCTCATCGCTCCTCATTATTCCGTCAAAAAGAGTGAACAGAGTTATGCAGTTTTCGTTTGAAAATCCTCCGTTTCCTCTCAGAATTATTGAACTGCACTGCGTGTTGTAGAAATTGCAATTTACCATGGTTGAGATGACCTTCGCCTGGATGTTAGAGGCAGGCGACATCTTGGACACCTGGCAGAGCAGGTTTGCAATTCTCACGCTCGACTCCAAGTTCAGCCTCTTCCACCCTCCGTTCGAGATGCAAGAAAGACATGGCGAGAGGAGGTACTCGATGACTGAGGCATCGCACGTGATCATCAGCTTGACTGTCTCAATCAGCTGCAGGCTCAGGTCTTGAGGGATCGTGACGTCCAGGCAGCTCTTCAACTGCGTTTTGACTAAGTCTTGTGAAGTCTTGCAAAATTCAATAAAAAATGACAGTCTATTAAAAATGAAGTAACTTGTTTTTCCCTTCCTTAGATCTATGAATCGCTTCGTGAACAGATAGAAAAGATCGGAGTACAAAAAGCTGCTCTGCCAGTCACTCTTAGACAGTAATAAACTGAGATGTGAAGTGACCAAATAAAGCATATTTGACTTGATAAAACCGTCGAGTCCATCATCCACCAAATTCACCAAGTATCTTGAGATTTCGACGAATATTTTAGACGAAAAGAGGACTTTTACGTTCTCCATTGTCCAAATCTTTGCAGCGACGTTCTCAGAGAGATTCAGTGGAAAAGACTCGATGACGTGCTGCACGGATATTGCAGCGTCAGAGTAGAAGTGGTCGGATGTCTGGAGGCTGTAGAAAACGCAGTGTCTGAAGAGTTTCGACTCCAACAAAGCAGAGGATGTTTCGTCGCTGTTACTCAAAAGGGGAAGTAACTCCGCAGAAAGGAAGTTGACGAACTCAGACTCGAGAACCATGTTGGAGAGACAGTTGATGAAGATTTGACTCAAATTGGAATCAAATTTGAATTCAAATAAATATAAAAAGTGACAAAGTGAAATAATTCCACAATTTTGATTGTATTTCAGTTGTGACAAAACTATGGCACTCTTTGCGATCAATCCTCCGAACTCTTTCTTCACCCTGTCCTGGAAGCTGCCGTAATAAACAACCCATGATAAACTGTCAAAAAATGTCATGCAGGAAATATAACTGTCAGACGGTTTTTTGTAAAGTAAGAAACCGCTTCCCTGCAAACTCTGGTTTAGCATCTGTGGGAACATTGCCTTTAGTGACTCAAACAGTGTGGAGAAAGCGAGTTTTTCTATATCAGAAATTGGAATTTTTTCAGAAGGCAAATTTTTGACATTTTTGTTGATTCTTTGGCATTTTGGAACAAGTGAATAAAGCAAGTTCTCGCAAGAGTTCCTCACTATTTGTTCATTATTCAGCAGCCACTTTTCCAGCCATATTTCTGGGGAGAATACCAAGCTGCACACAGTTGAGTGAGACAGTCTGACAGCAGTTTCGTTTAGGAAGACAGCGACAGAGTTTGCGTTCCAGTTCTTCGACCTGATGAACGAGTAGAACCACTGCAGCCTGTTCTTCTGGAGGCTGTCTGAGAAGGAGCAGGCAGTTGCAAAGTGTGCGGCGACGACATTTGGCTGGATCTGGTCCTTCTGGCTGTTGAGGTACGAGAAGTACTCGTTGTTCATCTCCGTGCTGTCTTTTATCAGCGACATGACGAGCATTGAGAAGTTGAACGCGTTCTGGTCTGATGTGAACCACCTGTCCATGAGGTTCTTGCTGACGATCTTCTGGCGGTATGTAGAGTAGCTCTTCGTCTTCTCCAGGATGTAGTTGATGCACTCAAAAAGACGTGACAATTTCACTGTTCTGACAAATTCGGAAAGTTCTGTTTTTGGTATTTTTTCGTCTACTTTCAAAACAAAATCCAATAAATAGTTAGAAATGTCGCACAACTCAATGTGCTTCTCGTAGAAAAGAATGGGAGCAAATATATCATCTAAATTTCGCCAATAATCATAAAAAGTATCAAGTTTTGATAGAATTACATCAATGAAATTTTTTGATATTTCCTTATTTGCAGCCATCATTGCTGTATTTGCAAGTTCGATTGTGCTCTGTCTGAGCGCTTCGTTTTTGTTTTTGAGCAGAATATCGATGAGAAAGTCGACTTTCTTCAGGATGAAGTTTGCGAACTCCTGCTTGGAAGCGCTCGCAACAATTGACTTCCTGATCTCATCACTGCAGTTTGTAACTTTGAAGAAGTAGTCAAAGATGAAGTCAGAACTTTCCTCTATCTGTGTCAGCGAAGTAATGAGTGACACGACTTCGTTGTTTGCCATTGTCTCGTGCACTATCATCTGACTTACGCTCTCCACGAAGTATTTAACCATTCTCTTCGGCATCAGCTCTATTGGCTCCCTCTCGTTTTGTGTTTTTGCTTCGTTACTTTCGTTGATTTTCTTGTAGAATAAAACGTAAGCAGACGTTGTTTTCTCGCATGTCTCTGTCTTCATAGAGTTGTAGTCTGGGTCGTAGATCTCGTGTGTCGTGTTTCCGCCGAACATCGTCTTTATCATCTCCTCCGGCTTCATCAGAATCTCCTGCACGTGGGAGTCGTTGAAGCAGAGCCACCTCTCGCCCTCCCTCGTGTAAGTGAAGTAGTGTCCGCCGGCGCTGGACCCGCTGTGGACTATGATGCCGCAGAGGGAGTACTTCGAGTCCTGCGGGCACTGCATGATTGGGCTGAAGTCGGCGACGAGGGGGAACTCGAAGTACGTGTTCAGCTTCTTCCTATCTCCTGTCATCAGATCGAACTCGAATCGCTTCAACTGGACAAGGAGGACGTCTGGAGCTTTCTCGAGGTAGTGGTATCTCTCTATGTCGATGTTTCCGAGCTCTGTCTCTGTGTTGTATCCCTGTATTATGTCAGGCTGGAGGAATGTTTTAAATGCGTCTTCAAAATTCTTGTTGTTCTTGACTTCGAGTGTTAACAGAGTGAATTCGTCCCTCGACTCACTCTGGAACTTGTTTCCAATGCCTTTCATCACGTGGAGAATTGTTCCTCTGACTGACTGCGATGTGTTCTCCTTCTTCTGAACTTTCTCGTCAATTTTGTCAAGCAGAGACTGGAGGAATTCGCTGGAATCTTGCTGCTCAATCGTGTTTATCAGCTTCTTCCCGAATCCTTTCCAAGTCTTCACGAAAATGGATGGATCCACCGCTGCGCACGGAAGGTAGCAGAGCTGGCAGATGAACAGCTGGAACTGGGAGAAGTCGTCCTTGTCGATTGACTCGTCGTTGGAGCAGTAGCCGAGGATTGCCTCTTTTGCGTCCTTGATTCTGAAGAATATCTGCATGGCTGAGTTGAGATAGCAGATGCAGCCGAGGTTTATGATGCCGCGCGGTCCGTTCATTTCGCATAAGTAGCTGTAGTTGTTGTTGGCAACGTAATCCGTGTTGTAGATGGATAGGAACTGGGTCAGGTACTGGAGAAGGATGTGGCTGTGGGTTCTTTTGGTGAGATCTAGAACTAGTTGAGTTAATAAGTATGGTTTCTCTATGTATCTGCGGGTATTTAGTAGGATGTTTGATACAAGAAACTCAAGACATTGCTCCAATATCCCGTCTTCGTCTGTTTCTACCTTGGGAAGCAGAATTGATAAAGAATCAATGATTCCGTTGACGAAATGGGAGTCGGCTAAGTTGCCTGTGAGGTCTCTAACAGAGAGTTTGAGGTCGGTTTCCTCTTTATCTGTTAGAGGTTTTGATAATTCTCCGGTAATATCTTCAGGGATCTCTTCTCTGAGGTGGATGTCCTTGGGAATGAGAAGGTTGTCCTTCAGAGTCTTGAATAGAATAGAAAACAATTTAGACGGATTTTGAGTATTATCAGCAATTTGCTTCAATAAAATGAAGAATTCGCGCGAACAGTTATGCGCTGACTTGCTGATATTTTTGACAACAAGATTTTCAAGGTTTTCAAGAGGTAATTTCGAAAATGCGATGTGGGAAAAAGAAGCAACTCTCATATTCGATTCAAACATCGCCAGACTGAACAGTTCGTCTAAGTCTTTCAGCTTGGTTAGAGGAGTGGGGTCTATTGATACGAATTTGTTAAAGAAAGTGAATAATGAAATCGAAAGATACATTTGCTGGATTTGGTGGCTTCGTAAGTTATCCAAAATCCAGTTAGATAGAGAGTTGATGCCTCTCTCAGCTCCAATTTCGATAAAAACCTCTTTTGTTTTTTCAAAGTTCATCAGCATCGAAATACAGCGAATTAGCATTCCAACGTACTGTTCATTTCTTACTGATTCATTCAACAGTATGTTTAGAAGTGATTTTGTCGCTGGAAGAGCTGCATTATCGACAAAATTTTTGTTATTTTCCGAAATCAGCTTTGCCAAGTGGTGTAATCTGTACTGTAGCAAGAGGGGATGAGTAATATCTAGCAGCCCAGAGAAATCTCCGCAAATTATGGAGTTCTGGAAATTTTCAATATCCGACTGCGAAGTGTCCATCAGATTGAGGAGTTGGAGCGCGTTCACGGCTATCTCGCTGTTCGTGGTGTTCATCAGCTGGAACAACTGGCCGAAAACTGAAGATCTCCTTATGATAACAGAGGGGAGCTCGTCGTGGAGCCACTGCCTGGCCGGTGTCGTAGTTTTCCGGTAGACAGCGAACTTCTGCTCGTTTGCGAACTGGTGGTTGGGCGAGATAGCGATGTTTTCGAACAGAACAATCGCATCCACTGAGTTTATTAGGTTTGAGCAGTATTTCTTGAATGTGGCGACTGTTATGCTCGGAGAGATCTTCACTGTTTTGGTTATCGCCCCTGTGATGTTGACGATAAACAAAGATTCTGGCGGAGTGAAGAGATTTCTGCGGATGTTGAGGGTTTCGAAGTCAATGGAGTCCTCTACCTTGCGTATCAAGTAGCCTAGAGTGACTAGTGACCCAATATTCCCTACTTTGGTCGAGCATTTGTTGATTATTGACATAATTGCCTCGTTTGACTCGATTTCCAAGGCATTGTCAACCACAAATGATGATATTTCGTTCCTTTTGTGGTCGAAAATCAACTTCCAGAGAGAATCTGAGTTTGAACTTGGAAAATTTTTGTAAATCCAGATAACTACATCAGAATTCAGTCCGTGATCGCATGCCCATGTCAGGAGGTTCGATTGTGCCTCTTGCGAAAGCAGAAATCTGATTTCTGATAGGAAATTTTTCAAAGTTGTTGGATTTGTATCGACAAGTATCTTCTTTGTTGCCTCAAACTGTTGGTGGCTGAAGTAGTTTGTGTTCTTCGTGATATTTGTCAACAATCTGAGCAGTAAATCGTAATTTGCCGGATTCCAACTTATATTCACTATTTCGTCGTAGCTGGATATTCCGCTCTCCCACAGATGGTTGAGAACCTGGAGGGAGAAGCGTTCGTTGATGCTCCTTATGTCCAGCGCCTTGTAAAAATAAGAATATTTCTCAGCTTTCGTTTTCGGGAGGAAAGCGTAGACAACCTTGTAATCCCGTGTCTCCCAGAGTGTCTCCAGCAGCGATTTCCTCACAAATTCCGGACAATTGTAGGAAATTCTGATCAAAAATCTGTATGAAGCGGGAGGATACTGCTTCGTGTTAGTAATCAGCTGCCAGAACTCTCCAATCCTGTCTTGTGGTATCGATTCGTACAGTCTTGGCCACTGGGCGAAGAAATTCCCAATTTCAGAGTGATGCTGCTGAAATGTGAGCTCCCAGAAGCTGTTTAGCTGGTTTGTGGTGTAGTGGCCGTAGTACCAAAGGCGGGAAAGTAGATGTGCGAATGGTTCGACAAGATTATGATGCATGTGAGCAATTAAAAAATTTATTATGTTGTCTTGTTGTATTTTCTCAATTAAATCTTTGTGTAGTTTATGTAAATTTGATATATACATCAATCCTCTAAATTGCTTGCTCAGATATTCGGATTTTATGTAACGAAGTGAAATATTTGTTTCAAATTTATCTATTTCTTTCCTAAATGATCTCGATGCGCTTTTCCTGAGGATTGACAATTCTGTCTTTATGTTTTTCTCGTTGACAATGCGAATAGTTTTTTCGTCGAGTTTGTTAATTTGTTTTTGTATTCGAATAAACGCAGCAGAATGGAATGCAGCATAATCGGTGGGCTTTATTATGTTACTCCCTTGCTCATATATGTAAAACATAGTATCAATAGTCTCGAAAGCAATATTTTCGTCTGTATTAAGTTTTTCAATAAAAGCAGCACAAGCACCTGTTTGTAGATAGAAATCAGTTGTTAATCTATATCGTATTTTCTTATGAAAGTCATTTAGTTGTGCAATAATTTCTTGGACTAAATCATTCATTATAGAAGTAAAGCCTTCAAGATTCTTATTTGAATCAACAAACTGTTGATAGAACCGCTGAATATCTTTACATGTAAAAAAATATGTTAATATGTAGTAATGCATCAATTTGACCGAATCTTGATGCGAATTCTCCTTTTTGAGTAACTCCGTGTATAGAATATTGGATGCCGAGGAGTAATCTCGTGTTATTATGAGCTGAGAGGCTTTTTCAATGGCCTCTTGCACTCGATTTTCCATCCAAAATTTTATAAAAAAAATAGAAGTAATTTTGTTGACACTGGCACTTTTTACTTCGACCATGATTTTTTTTGGAGAAAAAAAATTATGAAATCTAATTTGATATTATATTTCTTATGTTCATTCGGTTCTACTCAGAAAAACAAATAAGACTATCAATTCTCTCAAAAAAATTATTTTGGCACCTAAGATTTTGGCTGAATTGTCCCCTTGAACATACTGATCAGGAGTGTTAATAGGAATTTTTTTATGAGATAGTCAATAAACTTGTATTTTTGGTTGAAAATTATTACGAAAGGAGGGAATAAGTTTGCTTTTGTTTTAGAAATTTCAAATACTCTTGAACAGAAGATGTGCCATAGCAGATGTTAGATGAGTTTAGCTCCAATACGAAATGGCACATCTTACAAGGAAATTTCTTCTTTTAACAAGGATTTATATTAGTTATCTTGTTCTGCAATATCACACAACTAATTGTATCAAAAAAAAATCTTTTCATAATCTAGGTCTTGTCTACAAAATTTTCAATGTTTTCTATCAAAATTTGAATTCTCTTTTGATTTGAAGACTAGGAAAATGATTTTAATCAAATTTCCAACCATCTCTTCTTTGAAAATGTTTCTATCTTAACCAGTTTATAATATTTGAATATGGAGACGTAAATTTTATATTAATGTTTAGAATTATGATTTCGAATTAGCAAAATTGTTTGATTCCATTGGTTGTTATATAGAAATTATATTGTGATATGAAGAAAAGAATTAATGTGCGTATTGATCACAATACAATATTGATGATAATTGAATTTTTTGGTACATTGTAGAGATCATAAATATTTCAATAGTATGGTATTCGAGGTATGTTATGATTGCAAAATTATATTTTATTTTAAATAAATATGCCAAATTATGAAATTCTCCATAATTGATGTAAAATGCATCGAAAATGCTAATATTATGGATTTACATTATATTGTCTGCCTTACATGCATAGGTAATTTCTCGGTAACATGCCAGTATGTCTCTTCGTGACCCGGTAGTTTCGATTATAGAATATTTTTTAAAAATTATACATTCTTCAATCCAATCAATACCTTAAGATTGACAAAACCATAATTTTGAACAAATAGTGATATCATGCGTTTTTCTTCAAGTCATAGAATTGATATCATGGTAAGAAATATTCACTGCAAATTATCCGAAATATAAAATTTTCATACGATAGTGTGGATCGTTCATTTAGGATAAAAAGACATATTATGATAGTGTCATGCGGTATTCAGATTATATCTAAAGATCTAACATAATCTAATTTTTTCAATTTTCGAAATAGATATTCGATTTAGGTATAATATATTTTCTTAATGATAAATGATAAAACGATGAAATATAGATTTTTCTTATCAAAATTCAAAAGTAGTAGGATAGGATGGGTTATGTGACTTTTTTTGTAAACGTAAGAATTCATACAATATCGAGCGATTTTGTATCATTTTTTTAACATATTAATTTTAAAATATATTTATTTTTTTATTCTTACATAAATGACCCAACAAGTAAAACCAGATAAAATAGATTATCGAATTTTAGAGGATGGTGTTCCTGTTTATATTCAAAGATTTAAAGGGAAGCAATATTATAGAATTGTTAATCCTGAATATCTTAAACATTTATTTAAAAAGGAAGACTGTGAATTATTAAACGCTAATGAATATGAAAATGCTAAATCAAAACTGAGATATAAATATATTGGAAGTGATGAAAGGTGTAAAGATAAAGATAAAGTTTATTCAGTTTCATATAATGAATGGAAAACCAATAAGATAAGAAAACATTTAGGAGATTATGGTAAAAGTTCTGAATTCTTTAAATCTAGTATGTACGAGAGAGTAAAAGAAATTAGAAATAATTATTTTCATGAATGAAAGATTCACTACCATAATGAAATAAAAAATAAAAAAATAAACTTTAAAAATTCATGTCTCAGAATCAACATAGAACTTTAAGAAACTAATGATTATTTGAATTTATGAAATCAATTATTTGATTCATTCTTTCTTCAATCTCTTCTATTCTTTTTGTTAAATCATTAATTTTCATTAATGAGGTGATTCTTGATTGAGGAATAGATTTCAAACTAATCACCCCTTTTATTTTTGAAATTTTGAATCCATCAACTTTAAACATTTTATTCAATTTACATGTTGTCAATTCTTCAAATAATTTTTTATTATTAGCATAATAGTCATTAAATTCATCAACAGATGAAAAAATTTTTATTTCAGTAATTGGTTTAACAACGTTTATTTTTTGTTGAACATTTTCACTTTCATTTATTTCTTCCTCCTCTGTTTCATTTATTTTTAAAATCGGTTTCATTTATCATTAAATAAAAATAAGAATATAAGTGATGAAATATATTTTTTAATTAATATTAAATCAGAAATGGCGGCAGGATTCTTTAAAAAATTATGGGATGGAATTAAGAAAGCTGCAGGTTGGGTTCATAAAAATATTATTAAACCCGTTGCAAACTTTTTGGCACCAGTAGCGAAAACGGCAGGAACTATCATAGGTGGAGTATTAGGTACTAAAGCAGGTAATCCGGCGATGGGAGCACAAGCAGGTAACGCAATTGGTGGAATAGCTGAAGGAATACTTAATAAAATAGGAGGTAGATAGTGGAAAAATAAATTATTTTTATCTTAGTATCGGTTGAAGTCTTTGATAAACTTTTTCTCCTTTATTTAAAACTTCTCTTATTGGGGCAGCTTTTGGCGTTATTGATTCAGCAACGTCACTAATTGCTTCTTTATTCTTAAATATCCAATTTGCTCCTTTCTTCATTGTTTCCCAAACTTTATGCGCTCCTCTTTTTACTTTATCCCATAATTTTTTAAAGAATCCTGCAGCCATAGTTGATTATTTCATTAAAATTAAAAATTCATTTTCATCTTTTAATTTTGATTTTTTATTTAATAATAAATGACGACTAACTATTTGGTGCCAAACACTAAACCGATTAATGGAAATGTGTTTCATTCATTCGAAAAGATAAATGAAATATTCGCAAAGAATGACGGTAGAAGATATTATAGAGAACTTGAAAGTTCATGCTATGACTCTGATGCTCCATATTTTGATGATAAACAAACTCATTTAAGAATTACAAATCCAGCTCATGATGTGAACCAATTAGGTGACACATATATTAAACGCAAAGTTAAAGCAACTCTAGTTTCAAATAAAGCTTTCACATGTGATGTCGCTTTTAAATGCATGCGTTTATTCGTTGGTTACAAATCATCAAATCAAAGCTTTAAACAATTAGAAGTAGAAACCGAAAGAGGTGATGCCGGTTATCTTCAGATGGATTGTGCCCGTGAATCTTTCGCATTTGCAACATATAAACCAAAATCAGAAAGGAAAGTTAAAAAGTTTGTTCATTCGTTATATAATAATGTTCAAAAATATGATAACTCAGTATGTGGTAAATATATTGACCCTTCAGAAGTTTTCAAGAAAGCAAATGAAGAAGTTGATGTCACTTTTGATATGATTATTCCGGTAAATGATTTGTTAGCATTTCAGGCGTTCGATGATTATCCTAAATCATTTGGTGATATCATTCTTAAATATTATGTTTTCAGGGATACTTTAGTATTTTGTCAGGTTGACCCGTTAAGAGTTGCTGATTTACAAAATTACGTTTATGAAAAGATAACTGATGAAAATTATGAAAAGATTATGAATCATGTTTATAAATATGATCGCAAATTCCAACAAATCGGACTTCCTGCCAAATTAATTACAAGCTTAGCCGTTACATCTGCTGACGCAACAGTTGATGACGTTATTATTTCATGCACAAAGATGGAAGTTTTAGAGGATAAATGTATTACACCAGGATACGGTTTAATTGAAGAATCAGTTAAAGCAATACCACGTTTATTCAGTAAGGAAGATCCATTCATGATTCCAGCTCAACATATTGACGTTCGTTCACTAAATGGAGGTTGCATCACTCCTGAAGGTATCAGCTCAGATTTCTCATACGCTCTTCATAATGTTACAGATGTTGTGTTAACATTTCCGAAGAATGCAATGCAAAGAACGGTTTTAGAAAATCCAATGCTTCGAGGTCTTCAGGTCACTATAGATTCCAGAAACTTCCCCGATCAAGCGATGACCACAGTGGGCGACATATTCTTTACACGTATGCTTCAAGCTTCTGATTTAGATGGAGTGAATGAATGCACGGAAGAATACGAGGACTCATTAACTAGACCACTGAATGATGATAATGGCACACCATTAGCTAGAACATGGAAAGACCAAACTTCATTCTTATGCACTATTCCAGTTCAACGTGATGGAGCGGGTATATTCTTTGATGGATTAGAAACTTTCAATTCACAAGTTACAGTACAAGTGAAAGCTTATCCAATCATTCAGGGTGAAAATGACACTTACTGTTCAAAGGTGACAAATCCTCCTCAGGTTTGGTTTACTAGGACTACATATTGGACATGGACACCGGATGAAGGTTTGAAATATCATCCAACAGGTACACCACCACAGTATAGAAGTTCATATGATGAAATATTGATGAATAGAAATGTTTAAAATTATAAATTTATTTTTGATTAAATGGATTTAAATTCATCCACCCCTTATGAAGAATTAGCAGGAGTATATAATACATACGTAGATGATATGATTAATGAAGCATTGAGTGATAATAGAAATGCTCTATCTAAGGAAAAATTAATGAAAATTCCATATTCTGAATGTTACTTAAATTCAATCACTGCAGCAATTGGTAAACAGAATAAGGGTAAAACATTAACGATATTAAAACAAATTATCATTATTGCTAACACTTCCCCCCATTCACATGTGTTAATTTATATCAACCGTTCAGGTTCACCTTCAGATGATACATTTGAATCTTTAAAGCATTTAATCAAAATTCCAATTATTTATTTATCACAAGAAGAAGCAGAAGATTATTTAAAAAACTTTTTAATGTATAAAGAATTATATAATACAATCAAGAAGCAAGGATTAGAGGATAAAATTATTGATAAACAACGGGATGAATTATTTGAAACACTTTCTATTTCAAATTTTGATAGAGAATTTTTGCATTCACTCATTTTTCTAGATGATGCGGTGAAATCAAAACTAATAACAAATGAGAAATCATATTTTAATCAGTTATTAACTCAATGTCGACACATTCAGTGTTCATTCTTCATGGCTGTTCAATATTTCAAAGCATTAAGCACAAACATTAAATCAAATCTATCAACCCTTTTCATTTTCAGTGGGTTTAGTCGTCAACAGTTGAACGTTATGCTTTATCAAGTGAATTTACCAATGAGCATTAATGAACTTTACACACAATATCAGCAATTAGGTGAACATGGAAAAATAATAGTTGATTTAAATAAAGGAAGTGTTAAATTTGATTAACTTTTTATAATTAATTTTTATTTTTTATTTATAATTAAACATGACAGAAATAGCAAATCTTCTACAGGTTCCATTAAAACAAGGGACAAACAAAAAGGGTGCATATAATAGAACTATGAAAGTTCCTGATGGAATGAAAGAATTAGTTCATATTGTTGCTGGTCTTCAAAAAGATGTTAAACAAATGAGAAACGTTTTAACATTACCAGAAGCTCAAGCATATGCCAAACGTCATGGTCCAAATTGGGAAGCACGCGAAGCAGACATTACGGGTCCAAATGGAAAACCTGATGGTATAAATGAAGTTTTCGTTACTGATGGTCAAGGTAATATTAAAGTCATAAATGGTTATAAATTAACTATGTCTGATTATCCTAAACGTAAAGCATATAATGAACGTTATCCTATACAATTTGATGAAAATGGAAAAGCTGTTAAACAATACATTGGAGAAGGTGAACATGGTCCAATTAATTCATACCGTCATAATCCATATTCTTATTTCAATGAAGAATTAAATGCTATTGAAGAGGGACCGGGTGGATTACCACGATATTCTAACCAGTTTGATGGTCAATATGCAAATATTAGACCTGAAATTTCAGCTAAGAAATTCTTTAAAGTTGCTTTATTCGATCCAGTTTTCGCAAATGTTAAAGATGAACTTAAACAGCAATTCCAACCAATTATAGTAGCAAGAATTGCATCAGGTGCTTTATCTCAAGCATTCAAAGATTTAATTAAGAAACCATTATATCAGCAACGAGGTTTAACTTATGATTTAGTTAAGGAATCAGATAAAAGAAAATTTGAGAAATCAAATGATTATAAGAATGCAATTAATGAATATATTAAGTCTATTAATTTCGATGAAAATTTGAGAAATCAACTTCATGAACAAATACAGGGAATAATAGATTCAAAAGTTCCAGCAAAATAAAAGTTTAAATATATTTTTTTTATTCGATTATAAATGAGAAGACGTTTCACTAGTCAAAAGAACACTAACGCAAAAGCAGAGATTACGGTTGGTTATAACGTAAATGATGATAAATCACGAATTATTCAAAATGTTAAAGTTAATGTTAGCCCTGAATTAACAAGGTCAGCAACTCAACCAAATTTATTAACTCGTGACTTACCGAAGAATGAGGAGAATGAAGAAAACCATGAGAATGGAGACCCAATCATTTTATCTGAACCTGGTAAAGAACCTGTTGAAATTCTTGCTTTAAATCTGATTCTCCAGATGTTTTCTCAACGTTTCAGGGTTATAAATACAACATTCTTGAAAAGCCTGATTACTCAAAAATTGAGATGTTTATGGATTTCATTAAAGAAGCCATTTGTGATAATAACGATGAAATGTATAAATACCTTCTCGGCTGGATTGCATCAATGATTCAACATCCTGGAATCAAGAATGAAACAGCAATTATTTTGAAAGGACTTCAGGGAACAGGTAAAAACAGATTTACAGACATTATTTCTGAACTTCTCGCTGGTTATTCATGTAAAAACATTACTGAAATAAGTGAGCTAACGGGTAATTTCAATTCGGTTGTTGAAAATAAAATGTTTCTTGTACTTAATGAACTCAAGAATGTTGGTGAAGATAGACTCGCAAACTTCAACGCTTTGAAATCAATTATTACGGATAATCAAATTAGAATTAATGAAAAGAATCAACCCAGAAGAACTGCTCAGAACGTTGCAAACTTCATTTTCGTAACTAACAACGTCTACCCTGTCAAAATTGAAGTTGGAGACAGAAGATACGTAGTTTTAAGGGTTAATGGTAAATTCAAGGGTCAATTTGATTACTTCAAGAATTTAATGGATTCATGCACTAAGGAATTTTATGATAATTTACTGACGTATTTTATGCAATATGACCTTTCATCATTTAATGTACGAATCATTCCGATGACTGAAGCCAAACAAGATTTAATTGAGTTATCAACAAATCCTTTAGATGTATGGATAAATACACATTATGATGAATTGTGTGCAGGTATGACGTGTGAAAATGCTCTATTCTGCAAACCATCAGACATGAAAGACAAGAATTTCCAAATGAGTATTAAGGATAAATGTGATAGGAAACATAGAAGAATAGACGGTAAACAAACATGGTGTTATGTTTTGAAAGAAGAAATGAAAGGATTATATAAACAGGTTGAACCAAACGATAATGATGATTCATTTACTGACGATGAAATACCTGTAAATGAAGCTTTATAAAGTATGATTGGAATTTATTTTTGCCTTCCTCCTGTGTTGTTGTCTAAATGTCATGTTGTCACACTTTTTCAGAGAAGTTAAATGACCTGGTAGCACATGGTAACATGGTAGCACCTTCAGTTCTTCAAAAATAATTCATAACTACCTTCCTCCTGTGTTGTTGTCTAAATGTCATGTTGTCACACTTTTTCAGAGAAGTTAAATGACCTGGTAGCACATGGTAACATGGTAGCACCTTCAGTTCTTCAAAAATAATTCATTATTGAATAACCTGTAAACATTAACGTAAACATTTATTTCTGCAGTTCATTCATTACTTCATTACCTAATTAATTACAAACATAAAATATATTTAGTTCATTCAATGAACGCGGTAAGCCTGCAAAGTAGGCTCAAGCACATTCAATAAATGCGGTACCATGCGAATACAGTCATAAATGGAGGCATATAATCTTTACCCAAGCCTGTTGGATTTGTTGTGAAAGTATGTGAATGATTTCCTCCTGGTTCAGTTGGTCGAAAAGTCTTTTTTGCTGAATGGTTATAATCTGGAGATAAAACGTCATTGCCAGCATAATATTCTGAGTTGTATAATGGATGGTCTCTTATTGAATGTGTATGATTACCTGATGTGTTTGTAGTTCCTGTATGAGTGTGCGGTGGAAGGTTTGCTTCAGTAATTTTCTTTGAACCACCGGTTTCCTTTGAAGAGTTCGCACAATAGAAGAATTTATCTACAATCTGTTCCCACGCACCAAAACCTAAAACTTTTGAAGGATTTGTTGAGTTCATTGACGTATAAATAGAACCAATGGGGTAAATCATCTCAAGAATTGTATTTAATCCATTATGAATATTGAATTTATTATATAATATTGAATTTGGGTGAGTATTTAAAACTGGTCTTGTTATCAATATTAACGTATTATTTTTGAAAATTGCTTTTCTAACATCTTGAAATTTTGTGATTTCAGACCAGTTTCTTCCATCACTACTGATATTTACTAAATCACCACATCCTAAAGCAATAAATACCATCAATATAAAAAAATTTGTAAATCTATAATTTTGAGTAAATTTTGGAGTGAATGAATAAACCAATTCCCAATTTGATAAATCCTGTGATAAATAAATATGTCTGTTATAACTTACAGGATATGAATAGACCATTTCACCTGAAACGAGAACATAAACATTTGATCCATAACATAAAGCTTCAATGTCTCCATCAGCTTGAAAAATTTGTTCAAATTGACCTTGTGATATTGAAGATGATCTATAAATTTTATCATTTTGTAGGATAAAATACATGTTGTTAATGTAATACCACTTACTTGTATAATCAATTTTCAAATCTGATGACATCATACTAAACATATAATAATTTATCCCATCCTCACTAATGAAAATTTGATTGACTTCATAAATTAGTACCCATTTATTATTAACACATCTAATAGGATTATTTGGATATTTAAATTTAGCATCTTGATTTAAATTACATTTGAACCATTGGATACAATCGAATGAATAACAAGGGCAAAAATCATCTTCAACCGTTATCATTCCCATAAATTTACCGTTATTATATTCAACATATAAAATTATTGGATTAATGATTGGCTTTCGTGTATCAGGATTCAAAACAGATGGAGTAAATGATTCATAGTTTTTAAAATCATTTGTTTTAAAATAATAAAGCACTCCATCTGTATAAAATAAATACATGGTCACTCCATCGAAACATATCCATTCAAAAGAATCTATATCAAAGGTTTTATCTGATGATTTCATAAAATTTAAAAATGGAGGAGTAAAATAGACCTCTGATTGTTTTAATTCAGCGTCAACATATTCCTTATCCGCTTTCTTCTCTAACGCAGCAGCAACACATTCCTTATCTGCTTTCTTCTCTAACTTAGTCTTTAATTCAGCGTCAACATATTCCTTATCCGCTTTAAGGTCTAAACATCCTGAAACCCATCCTGTATCGGCTTTAGTTTTTAAAATCTTTGATGTCCATTCATGATACCATTCAACACTTTCTTTAATTTCATTATCTTTTTCGTTAACATATTCCTTATCCGCTTTCTTCTCTAACGCAGCAGCAACATTCCTTATCTGCTTTCTTCATTATGTCATTTAGGAAACCTTTTATGAATTCCTCATTTAAATTAAATCTTCCAATCTTCAAAACTTTAGGAAATGCATTTAATGCGTAATATCTCTGTTCTTCTGGTGGAATTGATGTTATATCATCCGTTATACCTTTAATTTTTGAATTCATAAATAAAATTTCTTTTATATTTGATATCACTGCACCACCTTTGCAAACGAATTCGAAATGGTCATTTTTCAATACTATCTCCAAATCTCCATATTTCAACCTTTGCGTTTGTTCTGCCGTCTTTGAATTATATGCATATATGGCGTATGTAATGGTCTGAGGACCTGGGTGCTTTGTGCCTTAAGTTGTTGTGGTTGCTGTTGTTTAATCATTTATTATGATTTAAAAATAAATATTTAATCTGTTATCTCATCACTATTTTTTCTATTTGAAATTGCCATAATATTTCATTCATGAATTCTAAATCACAATCAAATAGGTCAGTTATTCTAAATTTAATATTTGATAAATCTTTTGAATGAAGAATAAATGAATTCCCAGATAATTGAAACGGATATGATAAAGAAAATGTGTTTAAGTTGATGGATAAAATGTTTTGTATTGATGGGTAAGAGTTAGGGTCTAATGTTTGATGTGAAAATCTCATTGGGGTATTAACTTTATCACATTTGATTAAAATGAAATTGGAACCAGTGTCAGAATACAAAACATCCCCAACATCTTTTTCAAAATTTAATATCCCCAACAATGAACGAAGATGAGGAGTACAAAATTTAATTTTCAGCGGAAATTTAATAAGGTTATTTATTTCATCAAGTTCAAAAAGTTTATCGGTTTTGATTTAAAATTTTCTTCATACCATACGATAAATGATTCATTTAAATAACTTAAAATCATGTTAATATCCCATTTCGTTATCACATTATTTATATACATATCATACGTTTTTTCAAGGTCATCTTTAATAAATGATATATAATCTGAAGGGTCTAAAAGAATGGGATTAAATTTACCACTCACAGAAACGAGAGTAACATTATAAATTCCGCTAACTGTTAAATTTAATTCACAGTTATTATTCGAAATAATATTGATAATTGACATTTTTATTACGATTAAAAATATGGTAAAGCGTTATTTTCCAGTGATAAATAAAACTAGAATAAGATTACCTCAAGAATTCATAAATTCAACGAATAAGAAATTCATTCATGTTATAAATTTTAGTGTTTTCAGAAAATATGAGTCAATGTCATATTCATCAACAGGTTATATTTCACTTCATTCAAATTTAGTTCAATCAAACCCATATAATGACCATTTCATAAGATTTTCAGATGGTATTAAAAATGTAATTGATAGATTAAAATATGAACAGATTGACAATATCGAATTTTTGGAATTTTGGTTTAAATATCCCGATGGAAAAAAGATTGAAGTTAAAGATAAAGCTGATACTATAACAAAAACAATTACAATGACCGATCCAGATAGTGGGGAACAAAAAGAAATAAAACAAACGATAGAAACTGGTGAAAGGTCAATTATTATTGATTATGATTCAAAGGATTATTATTCGATAATGTTAATGCTTGAATATTAAATAGCCTTAACAAAGAATTTTTCAAGTGATATTTTATATTCATCAACTATTTTATTATAAATATCATTATATGTTAAATGAAGTTCAGTTGTTGTTCCGTTCTTTGATATCTTAATTGTGCTAATATCCTTTATAGGATTTATTTTTGCAACTGTTCCGCAGCATGAAACCTCATCATCTATGAAAAATTGAATCTTAACGTCTGAATCTTGAACATCACAAAGAATGGCGATAATGTGAATTAATGATTCATAAGGTAAAATAATTAAACCGGATTGATCAATTAAATTTATTATTGAATCATAATTATTAATTATTATATCACGGTAAATTTTCATTAATTCAGAATTAATGTCTATTTTATATGGGTTCTCGATGTTTGATGAAAGAGGTGGGGGGTATGTTGGATAAGTGGGAATTTCAACAGGTTCTTTACCGGGTTCAGATAAAATGATTGGGTCTCCATTCTCATGGTTTTCTTCATTCTCCTCATTCTTCGGTAAGTCACGAGTTAATAAATTTGGTTGAGTTGCTGACCTTGTTAATTCAGGGCTAACATTAACTTTAACATTTTGAATAATTCGTGATTTATCATCATTTACGTTATAACCAACCGTAATCTCTGCTTTTGCGTTTGTGTTCTTTTGACTTGTGAAACGTCTTCTCATTTATAATTGAATAAAAAAAAGAAAAATATATTTAAAGTTTTATTTAGTTGTTACGGTAATATCCCAAGGTTCATCATTGTTTGCTTATACTTTCTTTGTAACTGCACCAATTATGTTATTGATATTGCTTTGAGTTTCTTCCAGTCTTATTTTATCATTTACAATATCTTTAATCATTTCATTACATGCATTCTTAAAACCATCTGATTTTTCTAATTTACGTCTATCACTTTCTTTAATTAAATCAAAGTTATAACCTTGTTGAGAATAAAGTGGTTTCTTTATCAATTCCTTGAACGCTTCTGAAAGTGAAGATGAAGAAATTCTTGCCACTTGAATTGGTTTAAATTCTGCTTTCATTGCTTCTTTCTGTTCATTGAACACTGGATCGAATAAAGCAACTTTAAAGAATTTCTTAGCTGGAATTTCAGGTCTAATATTTGCATATTGACCATCAAACTGATTAACATATCGTGGTAATCCATCCGGTCCCTCTTCAACAGCATTTAATTCTTCATTGAAATAAGAATATGGATTATAACGGTATGAATTAATTGGACCATTTTCACCTTCTCCAATGTATTGTTTAACAGCTTTTCCATTTTCATCAAATTGCATAGGATAACGTTCATTATATGCTTTACGTTTAGGATAATCAGTTATAGTTAATTTGTAACCATTTATGACTTTAATATTACCTTGACCATCAGTAACGAAAACTTCATTTATACCATCAGGTTTTCCATTTGGACCCGTAATGTCTGCTTCATGTGCTTCCCAATTTGGTCCATGACGTTTGGCATATGCTTGAGCTTCTGGTAATGTTAAAACGTTTCTCATTTGTTTAACATCCTTTTGAAGACCGGCAACAATGTGGACTAATTCTTTCATTCCGTCTGGAACTTTCATAGTTCTATTATATGCACCCTTTTTGTTTGTCCCTTGTTTTAATGGAACCTGTAGAAGATTTGCTATTTCTGTCATGTTTAATTATAAATAAAAAATAAAAATTAATTATAAAAAGTTAATCAAATTTAACACTTCCTTTATTTAAATCAACTATTATTTTTCCATGTTCACCTAATTGCTGATATTGTGTGTAAAGTTCATTAATGCTCATTGGTAAATTCACTTGATAAAGCATAACGTTCAACTGTTGACGACTAAACCCACTGAAAATGAAAAGGGTTGATAGATTTGATTTAATGTTTGTGCTTAATGCTTTGAAATATTGAACAGCCATAAAGAATGAACACTGAATGTGTCGACATTGAGTTAATAATGATTAAAATATGATTTCTCATTAGTTATTAGTTTTGATTTCACTGCATCATCTAGAAAAATGAGTGAATGCAAAAATTCTCTATCAAAATTTGAAATAGAAAGTGTTTCAAATAATTCATCCCGTTGTTTATCAATAATTTTATCCTCTAATCCTTGCTTCTTGATTGTATTATATAATTCTTTATACATTAAAAAGTTTTTTAAATAATCTTCTGCTTCTTCTTGTGATAAATAAATAATTGGAATTTTGATTAAATGCTTTAAAGATTCAAATGTATCATCTGAAGGTGAACCTGAACGGTTGATATAAATTAACACATGTGAATGGGGGAAGTGTTAGCAATAATGATAATTTGTTTTAATATCGTTAATGTTTTACCTTTATTTTGTTTACCAATTGCTGCAGTGATTGAATTTAAGTAACATTCAGAATATGGAATTTTCATTAATTTTTCCTTAGATAGAGCATTTCTATTATCACTCAATGCTTCATTAATCATATCATCTACGTATGTATTATATACTCCTGCTAATTCTTCATAAGGGTGGATGAATTTAAATCCATTTAATCAAAAATAAATTTATAATTTTAAACATTTCTATTCATCAATATTTCATCATATGAACTTCTATACTGTGGTGGTGTACCTGTTGGATGATATTTCAAACCTTCATCCGGTGTCCATGTCCAATACGTAGTCCTAGTAAACCAAACCTGAGGAGGATTTGTCACCTTTGAACAGTAAGTGTCATTTTCACCCTGAATGATTGGATAAGCTTTCACTTGTACTGTAACTTGTGAATTGAAAGTTTCTAATCCATCAAAGAATATACCCGCTCCATCACGTTGAACTGGAATAGTGCATAAGAATGAAGTTTGGTCTTTCCATGTTCTAGCTAATGGCGTGCCATTATCATCATTCAGTGGTCTAGTTAATGAGTCCTCGTATTCTTCTGTGCATTCATTCACTCCATCTAAATCAGAAGCTTGAAGCATACGTGTAAAGAATATGTCGCCCACTGTGGTCATCGCTTGATCGGGGAAGTTTCTGGAATCTATAGTGACCTGAAGACCTCGAAGCATTGGATTTTCTAAAACCGTTCTTTGCATTGCATTCTTCGGAAATGTTAACACAACATCTGTAACATTATGAAGAGCGTATGAGAAATCTGAGCTAATACCTTCAGGAGTGATGCAACCTCCATTTAGTGAACGAACGTCAATATGTTGAGCTGGAATCATGAATGGATCTTCCTTACTGAATAAACGTGGTATTGCTTTAACTGATTCTTCAATTAAACCGTATCCTGGTGTAATGCATTTATCCTCTAAAACTTCCATCTTTGTGCATGAAATAATAACGTTATCAACTGTTGCGTCAGCAGATGTAGCGGCTAAGCTTGTAATTAATTTGGCAGGAAGTCCGATTTGTTGGAATTTGCGATCATATTTATAAACATGATTCATAATCTTTTCATAATTTTCATCAGTTATCTTTTCATAAACGTAATTTTGTAAATCAGCAACTCTTAACGGGTCAACCTGACAAAATACTAAAGTATCCCTGAAAACATAATATTTAAGAATGATTCACCAAATGATTTAGGATAATCATCGAACGCCTGAAATGCTAACAAATCATTTACCGGAATAATCATATCAAAAGTGACATCAACTTCTTCATTTGCTTTCTTGAAAACTTCTGAAGGGTCAATATATTTACCACATACTGAGTTATCATATTTTTGAACATTATTATATAACGAATGAACAAACTTTTTAACTTTCCTTTCTGATTTTGGTTTATATGTTGCAAATGCGAAAGATTCACGGGCGCAATCCATCTGAAGATAACCGGCATCACCTCTTTCGGTTTCTACTTCTAATTGTTTAAAGCTTTGATTTGATGATTTGTAACCAACGAATAAACGCATGCATTTAAAAGCGGCATCACATGTGAAAGCTTTATTTGAAACTAGAGTTGCTTTAACTTTGCGTTTAATATATGTGTCACCTAATTGGTTCACATCATGAGCCGGATTTGTAATTCTTAAATGAGTTTGTTTATCATCAAAATATGGAGCATCAGAGTCATAGCATGAACTTTCAAGTTCTCTATAATATCTTCTACCGTCATTCTTTGCGAATATTTCATTTATCTTTTCGAATGAATGAAACACATTTCCATTAATCGGTTTAGTGTTTGGCACCAAATAGTTAGTCGTCATTTATTATAAATAAAAAATCAAAATTAAAAGATGAAAATGAATTTTTAATTTTAATGAAATAATCAACTATGGCTGCAGGATTTTTAAAAACTGTGGGATAAAGTAAAAAGAGGAGCGCATAAAGTTTGGGAAACAATGAAGAAAGGAGCAAATTGGATATTTAAGAATAAAGAAGCAATTAGTGACGTTGCTGAATCAATAACACCAAAAGCTGCCCCAATAAGAGAAATTTTAAATAAAGGAGAAAAAGTTTATCAAAGACTTCAACCGATACTAAGATAAAAATAATATTTATTTTTCCACTATCTACCTCCTATTTTATTAAGTATTCCTTCAGCATTCCACCAATTGCGTTACCTGCTTGTGCTCCCATCGCCGGATTACCTGCTTTAGTACCTAATACTCCACCTATGATAGTTCCTGCCGTTTTCGCTACTGGTGCTAAAAAGTTTGCAACGGGTTTAATAATATTTTTATGAACCCAACCCGCAGCTTTCTTAATTCCATCCCATAATTTTTTAAAGAATCCTGCCGCCATTTCTGATTTAATATTAATTAAAAAATATATTTCATCACTTATATTCTAATTTTTATTTAATGATAAATGAAACCGATTTTAAAAATAAATGAAACAGAGGAGGAAATAAATGAAAATGTTCAACAAAAAATAAACGTTGTTAAACCAATTACTGAAATAAAAATTTTTAAATCTGTTGAAGAATTTAATGACTATTATGCTAATAATAAAAAATTATTTGAAGAATTGACAACATGTAAATTGAATAAAATGTTTAAAGTTGATGGATTCAAAATTTCAAAAATAAAAGGAGTGGTTAGTTTGAAATCTATTCCTCAATCAAGAATCACCTCATTAATGAAAATAGATGATTTAACAAAAAGAATAGAAGAGATTGAAGAAAGAATAATCAAATAATTGATTTCATAAATTCAAACAATCATTAGTTTCTTAAAGTTCAATGTTGAACTCATCAAATTCTTTTTAAAGTTTATTTTTTATTTCATTATGGTAGTGAATCTTTCATTCATGAGGTCTTTGATTATGACTCCATTGATTCCATTCAGGATTTAAACAATGTTTAATTAATCGCGGAATATCTGACATCATCTATATATAGCTTCTTTTATAAAAGATAAAAGATAAATTATTTTAAAATTAATGTTAATTTTTTAATGCGTTTAGTATATAATATTTGGGCTGAGTGTAAATGTCTTACAATTTTGAAAATTTTTTAAATCTTGATTTATTCAAAAACGTAAGAATAAAAACCGTCAGAATCATACATTTTTTACTTCATATGTTAAAAAAAATGATACAAAATCGTTCTATATTGTATGAATTCTTACGTTTACAAAAAAAGTCACACAACCCGTCCACATATACTACTTACTGAGTGGGGGACAAACTCGCCCATTGTCACTTTTCATTAACCTTAAACTTGTAATTTTCATTATTTTTAATTAACCTTATTTCTTTCCCAATTCCTGATTTATTTTATTCACTTACTATTAAAAGTCACATTTTAATAAAATATAATAATTTATTTATAGCATTTTTTACTATACTGTAATAAAAAATTAATTATAATAAATTAAATGTTTATTAAATCAAATGTTTTCTTTGCAATAATATTTTTAATGTTGAGTAAACAATGTTGGGATCAAGTGTATCATTTTTCAGACCTTTCTGAACAGCTTCAAGCATACTGATGCATGCGACTTTTTTAAATTGTGTCATTTCTTCGAAATCTCTTGTGACTTTTTTGATAACTTTAACACTTCTCTCTGAATCCAGACCTTTAATTTGCAACTTAATCAGGAATGAAGGAACAACACTGGAATATAACTCGATGACAAGTTCATCGAGTCGAAGATTTGGTTGTACACCACTTGTATGTGCCGGATACCATTGTGTCAAATTTTTTCTGAAATTAACTTTAAAAGTACTAAGTAAGATCATGAGATATAGCAATATATGTTTAAACCAACTTATATTTTGGTTGTACACCACTTGTATGTGCCGGATACCATTGTATCAAATTTTTTCTGAAATTAACTTTAAAAGTACTAAGTAAGATCATGAGATATAGCAATATATGTTTAAACCAACTTATATTTTGGTTGTACACCACTTGTATGTGCCGGATACCATTGTATCAAATTTTTTCTGAAATTAACTTTAAAAGTACTAAGTAAGATCATGAGATATAGCAATATATGTTTAAACCAACTTATATTTTGGTTGTACACCACTTGTATGTGCCGGATACCATTGTGTCAAATTTTTTCTGAAATTAACTTTAAAAGTACTAAGTAAGATCATTTATTTTTGCATAATATAATACCAATATGGTTTCTTTTGATTTTATTTCATTTATAAGCAAATCAGATTTACCCAAAAACTCCACTCCATAAGCGTTCATTTGCTAAATTAAAAAGTGACAATGGGCTAGTCTGTCCCTTTCTCCTACTTACTACTGTATTTGTCAGAGAATTCAGAACTATTTTTAATATCGTTTTTATTCTAATTATAAATTAAATAGCCAATTATGAGCCATACTCAATAAATGTCTCGTAAAAATTTCAATCTTTTCGGAATTTCGGAACTTAATTACACTTTAAAAGCCATCTGTACATTCTATTTTCCCAATGATTAGCATACATATTTCCCAAAACATTTAACAATACGGCTCCATTCCTTTTCTTTTCACTTTCAGTTCAATCTGTACAAAACTCCAGAACAAAATTCTAATGTTATTCTCACTAGTTCCTCAGCATAACCCTTTATTATATTATTTCCGATTCGTAATATTTTCAAGAGTACAAACACTACTCTTATTATCAACAATCAAGTCCCATTTTTGTGAGGTTCCTAAAAAAAAGATTAACCATTATTTGTTTGGAAGAACCGTATACATAGATAAATCAAGATCTTTCAATATATCAATATTCATATCTTCAGCATTATCACCAAGTCATTTATTTGAAATTTCATTGTTTTTTTCACACTGATGAATTATCGTTCATATAACCGAAAAAGGAATAACTTTAAATTTAAGAAAAATTCATCTTTTCTTCAATAAACTAACCCTGCATATCATTCTTGGCATATGTTTTATATATAAAAATTTTTAAATTTCAATTTGAAAAAGAAGAGATAAGAATATCATTAGCTCTTTTGAGCTGATTGAGGATTTCATTCATTAGTGATGTTCCTTCCTTGATACTGTGAAGCACCAAATGCATCTGGCTGACAGGAACAAATTCAGATTCATCTGCAGAAATTGAACATTTCATATTAGATCTGGCATCATCTATGTCCTTGGAACTCTCTGTTTCATCCCATGTTTCCTTGATATCTTCGGTAGGAATCTCATCTTTTGTTGGAACGGGCTCATTGGCTTGCTCTGAGCATGGATTATCATCTTCTGCATGGTTTGCATTGGTTTCCTCATGGTTTTGTTGTGATTCTTCTTCTTTTGTATCTGGCATTTTTTGCGGTTTTTCATTCTCAGCCATTTCGGATTTAATTTCGGTATTGCGAGGATTTTCTTTGTCTTGGTACTCTGGATCATCGGTTTCTTGGCTACTGGCTTGTGGGTTCCCACTTTTGAGAGGGAGATCTGTATCTTTATCTGCCGATAACTCAGCAATGTTGGTAGTGATAGGATCTATGATAGCTGTAGTAACTATTTCGTCAGGTTGTTTCTCTTCATTATGGTTATTTTCCGGGATTTCAAGTTTTTCCTCAGAATTTGCATCGTTTGATTTGATTATGGGTTTTTCTGGTTCAGATAATGTATTATCTATATTATCTGGTTGTACATCTTGCATTACTTCGTCATTGGCCGGGGAATATCTTTCAAAAAGTTTTTCTGGGGTTTTTTCTTCTTTTTCTCTAGTTGTGGTGGTTGTTAAACTACTAGTACTCCTTAACTTCGATATTTCCAATTGAAGAGCTTTGATCCTTTCTTCAACACTTAGGAAATTTTTCGGATTTGCTTCAATTTGCACGTTTCCTCCAGCATCGTGACTTGTTGAAGCATCCTCATTAACGTTAGGCAACACTTTCTCTCCACCTTTCACCATAATATGTTGGATTATCTCCGATTCCATTTTGGTATTTTTTTAAACATCATTCAAGATTTGATGTGCGTCACTTTTTGAAAGATAAATTGCAATATAATCCTTGGTTCTACTAAAATATGTGTACATCTAATTGAATAAATTATGATTTTGACCTTTAATTCCAAATAATTACAATTTTATCGGAAAAATTCCAAATTTAAGATAAAAATGAGTTATATGAACTACTGTATTTTGAAAATGAATTTTGGTGATATATTGTAGAATATTTTATCAACGAAATGGAATTATAATTATAATTATTTGCTCATTATTTGAAATACGATGAACGATTTCCGAAAAGCACAAAGAAATGTAATCTGATGGAAAATAATACTATTCCCTCCAATTAAGTTTTCTAGTTCTTTGCAGATTATGAAATGTTGATTGGTCGCCAAAAAGCCATCCTTCAAGAGATCATCGCTAGTAATTTGCTTGTTTTTCTTAATAAATGCTGAGTATATGAGAGATAAATAAAGAAAAAAAAAAGATCTGATTGAATAAAATTTTCAATTCTTTAATTTGATTTTACCATTCATAAATAATAGTACTTAATTGTGGATTTTTCAATATTGAGTGGATATTTTTTTGGATTAATCCGTAATGTACTTTGTTAATCAAGGTTACTTTATGATTATTTAACATAAAATGTATTCTGTTTGATTGCCCTATATCAATTTTAACTCTTGTTCTTAATATGTGGATCGATAAGAGTCAATATTTTTGAAAATCTTGATTTAACTTCATTTAAACAATTTACTGCATAAAAATAAACATATCCATTGATTTTAAATTAAACAAAAACTGGTTAAAGTATTCAAAAAAAATTCGAAATTCGAAATTTTGATCAAAATTTTTATATTTTGACAGACATTTTTTAGTATTTCCATTTTTTTTGGAAAATTGAAAATGTTGGAAAACAATCAGATAGTTCCAATAAATAAATCGATGATGGATTGGCTTCGAATTTCTTCAATTTTTTTTTTTGAAAAAAATATTCAATAATTTTCTTTACAGTAATTAAATCTAAGCTCTAAACATGATATATATAGTATTATTAATTCTTTCAGAATAAACAAACTTAATATTAAATTTTATTTCAATGAATAGTAAAATGTAATTACAATCGATTATGGTAATTAGTATTGTTCGAAGAATTTATCTGTTTCATCGTCATCATTTGCTGTTTCTACGTTTTGATTTGTGTTTGTATTTGATTCAATAACATCAGCGCCTGGAAGACCTTCTTCGTCCTTAGAATCTTGTGTTTCAGCATTATCTGTACTGCCTAAGCTTGGTAATTGGATATCATCTTCTTCCTCTTCTTTCGGTTTATTTTCTGGTTGGCTTTTGATAGTATTTTGCTCATTTTCGTTAGGTGTTTCTGTAGTTTGTTGATTGTCCTTTGGATTTTCGAGATCATCTGGGTTTATGATATCATCGGAGTTGGCATCATCGTTGAGTAATTTAATATTTTCATTATCGTTGTCATCATCTTCTAATAGCTTTGATTCTTGTTTTGGCTGGTTTTCGTCTTCCTCCATGAAATCGTCCTCTTCCGGTCGATTTGCTACTAATTTAAGAATGTCGTCATCAATGCTATCCTCCTCTTCTTCGTCCTTGACTACTTCTTTAACTGGTTTTTCTTCTTCAACCGGAAGATTTTCTTCTTTCTGTTGCTGTTCAACAGGGGCTTCCTCTGGTTTTGGCTCCTCTTCTTTGACTTCCTCGGCCTTTTCTTCGATATTTTCTTCCTTCTTTTCTTCGACTTTTCCTTCATTTTGTTCTTCAGATTCTTTTGTTTCTTCTACTGGGACTTCCTCTGGTTTTGGCTCCTCTTCTTTGACTTCCTCGGCCTTTTCTTCGATATTTTCTTCCTTCTTTTCTTCGACTTTTCCTTCATTTTGTTCTTCAGATTCTTTTGTTTCTTCTACTGGGGCTTCCTCTGGTTTTGACTCCTCTTCTTTGACTTCCTCGGCCTTTTCTTCGATATTTTCTTCCTTCTTTTCTTCGACTTTTCCTTCATTTTGTTCTTCAGATTCTTTTGTTTCTTCTACTGGGGCTTCCTCTGGTTTTGACTCCTCTTCTTTGACTTCCTCGGCCTTTTCTTCGATATTTTCTTCCTTCTTTTCTTCGACTTTTCCTTCATTTTGTTCTTCAGATTCTTTTGTTTCTTCTACTGGGACTTCCTCTGGTTTTGGCTCCTCTTCTTTGACTTCCTCGGCCTTTTCTTCGATATTTTCTTCCTTAATTTCTTCATCATTCTTTTCTTCCTCTTCAACTGGCTTCAGTTCGTCAGGAATAACAACTTCGTTTTCTTCTTTCTTCTCTTCTTCCTCGAGTTTCTTTTCTTCGGCCTCATCTTCGACTTTATTTTCTTCTTTTGCTTCCTCTTCCTCTTCTGGAGCCATAATTTGAGTAGTTTCTTGTTCTTCAAGCTTTTCCTCTTCTTCTTTGGCTTGTTCTTTAGGTTCTGTTTCAGCAACAATATTTTCTTGTTTCTTTTCCTCTTCTTCCTCTGTAGAATCGTTATGCTGAACATTGGAAATCTCATTAGCGGCATTTTGGTCGATTCCTTTTTCATCGACCAATTCTTTCTTCTTTGGCGTTTTCTTCTTCATTACTAGCTTCCTTTCAGCCTTCTTCTTGGCAAGCTGAGCCTTGAGTTCTGCAATTTCAGCGTCAAGATCAGCAAGTTGCTTCTCTTTTTGTTCGAATTCGTCTTTCTCAAGATCTACTATGAAAGCTTCTGTTTCGCCTGGCTTCCATACCTCAAGAGGTTCGAGTTTGCGAACAATGTAGTCACGCTGTAAAAAGTGCAAAGCTTTTGTACGAATTATTTGAGCGTCGTTTCTCATTTTCTCTGAAACATGAACACCATTAAGTGTTTCGATGTTGCGTCCGAAAACAGCTAACGCCATCGCTGAAAAGTATTTGTGTTTTGAAATTGGAGAATTTTTAATTGAAAACGTCTGTAGACTTAATTGCTGCTTTCCTCCTGCAAAAGAGGTAATTGGGCAGCCATCAAATCTCAAAACGCGAAGGGAAGGCATAGAAATTAAACCTTCGAAATTTGTAAAATTGTTATTGGACAAATCTAATGTGCAGATTGGTGGGTCCTTGTGGAGGGTCGGCATTTTCGAAAGATGACGGCCGGCATAGCTCACAATACGTGACTGGTGTCTAGTGGACTCCATAAGGAAATAACGATAAAAAAATACACAAAAAATGTTATTTTTTTTGATAGTTTAATTAAATATTGAAAATCGAATCTTCACACGTTACAGATGCATTTTTTATGGAATAAATGTCAAACTTCTCATTTCCGAATATAAAAATTAAAAATCATTACGTGATACAATACAATTAAAAATATCGAAAGAAAATAATTCAATTGTGATTTCAAATCCATTTTCAATTTTTTTTTATGAAAAAAGAATGTGTTGCGTTATTGTCAAGTAGAGCAACCTTTTCTCAATAAAAAATGATTAAAAATGCATTGACACAGACATGGTGTGATCAATGAGTTATATATATAACTGAATACTTGTTGATTTTTGTTATCATTTTTTAAAAACGTTTTAAATGATATTTCATCCTCTACAAAAATGAAACAACAAATAGCTGCTTTAAGTATACGTTATATGAATAAAATGAATTTATAAATTTTAAAAATCTGAAAGGATTATCCATCCTGAAGACTACTTCTTTTGTTATGCTAAGGAGCCTCTACAAATAAATAAAGATTCTCATCAATATTACTGACGAGAAAATTGATTTTCATCAATTGATGCGAAACTAGTGGTGAGTTGCTAATTTAATAGGTTAGAATAAAAGAGTGCTTGTAATAGACAATCTATTTTAAATAATATTTTTTTGAAAATCCAAATTTAGAATCATCGCAAAAACCATTAAGAATAGAGTTTTTCAGAAGGAAACATTGGCAAGTATAACTCTTTTACATCATGAATTCCATAGTTTCATTGTAAAATGCTGGAGTGTAAGTTAAAACTGTCAAATGTAAAGAATTCTAAAAACAATAACTTTGATATCATATTATATTCTATGTGTAGATTATCAATGTTTTGCTAAATTGAAGTTTGTCACGACCGAAACAATTGCCAATGAATTATAATATTTAAACCTTTATTTCTCTGTGTTAGTGATAGTATAATTAAGGTATATATTACATAGAATTATATTAATTCCTCTCAATAATTGAAAGCAAATTTTTTTGTGAATCGATTACTAATAGTTTTTTATAGGCTCTATATTTGTCACTAAATAAAATTACATATATTATTCGATTTGGCATCATCTCTATATTTTTGGGATGAACATCCAATTTTAAATAAACAAATAGAATTAAACAATATTTTCCGAATCTTTTGAAAAGATTTTGATTACAATTCAATTTTAAATCCATTCAATGAGTTTGAACAATTTTTTTTTCATCTTCCTATTCGTTCAGAGTTCTGAGTTATAATACAATTAATTTCTAGTTTTTTTTACACTCTTCTCAAATATTACTTACATTCTCAATCATTATATTGATGTCTACACCACAGGTTAATAGAACCGTAGCCCCAACTGAAAACATAACTTATTACCACGCAACACCATGCAATGATAAAACAATGTCAGGTCCAATTGTTACGGTAATTATAATTGGCATTTGCATTATTCTTGTTGGAATTATTGCAGCTGTAATAGCTTATATTTGCAAGAAGCACATTTCAAATCAAAAATCCGAATCAACTCCTTCCAGCCACAGGTTAGAGCAATTTACCACTCCGATGCTGAGTGATTAACCTCATTATGTACAAGAAATCAATATCTTATATTGCGGTGCTGATATAATATTATATCAATTATGATTAGTATTTTCTTTTCTACTAAATATTTGTTCTTTCATACTACAATTACATTATTTACACAATATTTTTAAAAAATACGATAACACATCATGAGTTCATAATATATTCCGCATCCAAAATTTACGAAATAGATCACAATTCCCTAATAAATTTTGATTGAAAATAATTGTTCCTCCCGGCCATTATATAATATTTGTCATATATTATCTTAATATATTATCAATAGACATATGTTATCTGCTTCCCTTTTAAATCAATATTCCATCACATGAATTTGCATTTATGTGCGGATAGCCTATATCACTAGTATGACAATTCAGTCATAATTAATTTAACCTCTCATAGTAATACTCTTGGAAATCTACCATAACAATTCTTATTGTTGTCACTTTTTGAACATTTCAAAAATGAGTTCTAGAGAAATTAAAACTCCTAAGGGGAATCGCAGTCCAAAAGTAGAGAACTTATCTCCCATTGAAAAGAAAGCCCCAAAAATACCAAATATGTCTCTTACAAATCAAGAATGGAACACTTTAAACAATGTTGTTGACTCTCTTCTTCGCGGTGCAGAAATTGATCACATTGTAGCTGCTGCAATCCCAAAACTCGACTTTGTATTAAATGCAAGACTTCAAGATGCAATAACTCGAAATTTCACACAGACCGTTACAAAGCTTAAATACAATATTAACAGATTACACAAGCTTTCCGAACTACATTCTGCAGCACCAAACCTAGAAAATAACTTTTCGAAGCTTCCCAGCAGCGAATTAAGAAAACAATATCTGAATCACTCAAAAGCTCTTGATGATATGAATAGCTTCTACGATATTCAAGCAGCCAAACTTGCTGAAAGGAGAGAGAAAGAAGAGTATTTTTTGAACAAAAAATTCGAAGAGGAACAAAATCAACTTGAACAAGAAATAACATACTCTTTAGCTAATATAATATACAGCAAATCTATTACAAATAAGAGGGCATTCATTAAACTTTTGCTTTCAAGAAATAAAATCCAAGAAGCAGAAAAACAAAAAGAAGAACTTCAGGAAATGGAATCAAAAGAGCGTGAGGAATACATGTTTAAGATTAACGATGAAATAGTTCAGAAAAAACATAATTTAGTTTCAAAACAAGATTTAGAACGCCAGGAGTTCAATATAAAGTTTGACGACATCGAAGATCGTTTGGAGAGAGATAGAAGGCGCGATGTCGATGGAGAACGCCAGATAATTGCAATAATTAGACAGTATTTGACAGATGACGAAGACGAACAAGTAGAGGAAGAGGACGAAGAGGAAGAAATGTTTGCAGAAGAGGAGGAATACGACAGATTGTCAACTGAAAACTCCGAGGAGAGCTTTTCTAATCAAAATACTACTAAAAACAAAGTTGCTGAGTGGATTCCGTTTGTTGAGGATCCATGCGTTCCATATCCATATTGAATTACAATCTTTTGATTCACCTTTATATTTTTTTTTGTATTTAAAAAATATTCAATAATTATTTAACATTTTTAGATTTTTTTTTGAATAGAGAATACCTTTTAAGACATAAAGAAAGTGTTAGTGGATCCATCACTCTAAATAAATGATTTTGATAAATTGTAGTGTCCGGTTTTAGTTTTTATGATTTCAAATTCAAAATCACTTGAACTTAGTTACCTTGATAGTTTGGACCTCGGATATTTTTTGGATTCGGGCTGATAGAAAGGAAACATGCATTGTAAATCTTACGAAGACGAGTACGGCTCCGAACTTCTTTTGGCTTGTCCATTTTTGTAATATTTGAAGTGTTGTTTCGGACCTTTCCTGCTTGTGCAATCGATCCATGAATTCTGCCCATTACTCGAAAAACGAATCCATTGCTTATTAAAGAAATATTTTCAATGATATCATCAAATGTTTTTTGAGCGAGACAAAATTATTGATTGAATTTTGATATGAAATCAATGCATTGTTGTAATTTAAGTACTGATTTATAGTTTTTATGCCAAAAAACCTTATGAAATTGAAATTGAGAGAGAAAAAGTGTTGAGTGTCTCAAAATTGAGAGATGTTATCAATACTTTTTACGACTTTGTTATAAATCAAGTTTGATAAGAATACATTTTAAAACACATATGTGACATACATATATTTTCTAATTAAAAGTCAAGAATATACAGTTCGGTATCGAGAGCGGGACAAGATTGAAAAATCTGACATTTGTAAAGTTCCAAATCTGACAATGTAAACTGTTTACAAATGTCAGATCAAAAAAACTTTGCCCGCCAAAACGCAAAAGTGCCATAATCTCATGGTGGACCACAGCTGGTGTCGCCGCCGACTATTCACTTGCTGGGATGCTACGCAGCCTTTGATCTGGCCAATCATAGTGCTGCTCCATCCACATCAGCAAGTGATTTCGGCTGGAGATCTCCAATGGGTCTTCCATGAGGTTTCTGTACGCCAGAAGCACAATATCTATGCAGCCTGGCTGCTAGGATAGCGTAGCTAGGCTGCGTAATTATTGTGCTTCTGGCGATATTAGTTATACGTTATTGCCCTCGTTGACTATAGTACTACTCCTTAACCTCCGAGGGTTAGGGAGTAAATTTGCTCGAAATGGGCAATGTTCATTACGAAATCTCTCATTCGATGAGAGACTTCGTAATGAGCATTGCCTTAAAGTACTCTTACTACTCTTTCCTAGTTCCCAAAAGGCCTAGGATTCTGTAATTAATCGAATAGGACAGAGTTTTTCCGAAGTCTCTCATTTGATGAGAGGCCTCGGAAGAATTCTGTCCTATTGTAATGTAGTTGTGGTACTTGGCCCACAAAGAGCGAGAGACATGTCTGTAATTCGTTTATGCTGAAGTTATCTGGATGTCTCTCAAATGAGGAAGGAAATCCAGAAAACTTCAGCATAAGTTAATGCAGATGTGATTTCTGGCTCTTTGTCGGCCAGAGAACGAATAAAAAGTTTATTGGATGAGTAGGCTCGATGGATGCCTACCCACTGCAAATATACGTTATTTTTTTATTTCCTATGAGAAAATAGTTTTCAATTTTTGTACTACTATATGCTTTATTGCACAATAAATCGTTAATTTTTCTTCTTAAAAATAGATTTATAATGTTTCGATTTTTTCGACTTTTTCAATCTTGATCAAAATTCAAAAATAAGCATAAAATCAAATAAAGTACATAAAATAACTCACATCTATCATATTAAAATTTTCGAAAAATCTCCAAAAAAATCACGGTTCGAAAATTTCGAAATCAAAAAGCACATTTTTCGCGGAGAAAAGAAGAAAAACAATTTTTTTTGGAATTTTGGTGAGAAAGAATCTTCTTTATCTCCTCATATTGTGCATATTTTCGCGTTCTGAGAGCGGAAAACGCATTTTTGGAATGCATAGATTCCGAATCACACGGAAAAAATTAAGTTTTAATAAGAAAATAAACGATTTATGAAGTAGTAAAGCATATAGTAGTACAAAAATTGAAAACTATTTTCTCATAGGAAATAAAAAAATAACGTATATTTGCAGTGGGTAGGCATCCATCGAGCCTACTCATCCAATAAACTTTTTATTCGTTCTCTGGCCGACAAAGAGCCAGAGAATCACATCTGCATTAACTTATGCTGAAGTTTTCTGGATTTCCTTCCTCATTTGAGAGACATCCAGATAACTTCAGCATAAACGAATTACAGACATGTTCTCTCGCTCTTTGTGGGCCAAGTACCACAACTACATTACAATAGGACAGAATTCTTCCGAGGCCTCTCATCAAATGAGAGACTTCGGAAAAACTCTGTCCTATTCGATTAATTACAGAATCCTAGGCCTTTTGGGAACTAGGAAAGAGTAGTAAGAGTACTTTAAGGCAATGCTCATTACGAAGTCTCTCATCGAATGAGAGATTTCGTAATGAACATTGCCCATTTCGAGCAAATTTACTCCCTTAACCCTCGGAGGTTAAGAGAGTAGTACTATAGTCAACGAGGGCAATAACGTATAACTAATATCGCCAGAAGCACAATAATTACGCAGCCTAGCTACGCTATCCTAGCAGCCAGGCTGCATAGATATTGTGCTTCTGGCGTACAGAAACCTCATGGAAGACCCATTGGAGATCTCCAGCCGAAATCACTTGCTGATGTGGATGGAGCAGCACTATGATTGGCCAGATCAAAGGCTGCGTAGCATCCCAGCAAGTGAATAGTCGGCGGCGACACCAGCTGTGGTCCACCATGAGATTATGGCACTTTTGCGTTTTGGCGGGCAAAGTTTTTTTGATCTGACATTTGTAAACAGTTTACATTGTCAGATTTGGAACTTTACAAATGTCAGATTTTTCAATCTTGTCCCGCTCTCGTTCGGTATCATTTTTCATGAAATTTTCTTAAAGATCAAAATTTCATATTTAATTCAGATTCTATATTACACAGTTGAGAGAAAAAACAAATTTGCATGAAGAATTATTCTTTTCTATCCTTTTTTAACCTCCTGAATTGATTATGCATTTTTTGCCATTTTGTAAATACTTTATTTGTCAGATTTTACTATCCTTCGTTATTTTATATGTTTAGCGGGGAGCAACGAAAATCTCAAAGTAATGGAGGAACTTTGAGAAATTCGACTCAAAATGTAAAAATAATGCGAAAAAGTGAAGAACAAGGTCGTAAATCCGTTCTCCCCAAAATATATAATGACAATAATTACAAAGGTGATTATAATTCCAATATAAGTGACAATAGTTATCAATATGATGAGAGTGATAATGAATCATCTAAATACGATCCTTCATTCAAGTACGAAATTTGGAGTCCAAGTATTAAAGATAATAGCGTTGAAAATCTCATCATTGATGACTATCTTCAAGATATGGAGTACATAAGAAACAAACGCGTTGGGGCAATTAACGCTAAAACGCCAATTTCAAGTTCAAGTTCTTTGCCTGTTGCAAACAATCAATTAAGAGCAACAAAACGCTCTAAATCTTCAAACAAAATCAAGAAATCTGCTACTCATCAGAAAATTACATTGCAACAGCTTCGAAAAAATAAACCAAAATTATTTGAAAGCAATGATGAGTATTATTCATTTGACAGTGCCGAGGACAAAGTAGATTTAAAGACATTACACCCTATTAGACAGCTCAAATCGCAAGAATATTCATTTGATTCGGATCTTGATGAAGTCGATGAGAATGGAATGAAGATTTTGAGACCTAAAAAACATCATGATAGGAACAGACATAAAAAGCCTGCATCAAATAGTGATGAATATTACTCTTTTGATGAAAAAATCGACTTGTACGAACCAATAACGCATAAAAAGATCCGTCGTAGGAGATCTAACATTAAAAGAATACCGATCAAACAAAACAAACCTAAACCCAGACGAGTTTACTTCGTTTTTGACAACAAAAAGAAAAAAATTGTCAAAAAAGTTTATCCTAAGGACAAAATACCAAGTATCTACGATGAGGTCAACAACAATCCCCAAAAACAAGCTCAAGAAGACCAAAATATTCTTCCTTATGGCGATGATGAATATTATTCTCTTGATGACTCAACAAAAATCAATCCTGAACAAGGAAAGCCGATAAGGAAGAGAAGGCATCACAGATTGCACTTTGATAACTCGTATTATTCCCAAAGTGAAAATGATCCAATCGATCCAAAGACGAAGAAGCCAAAAAGAAGGAAAAGGCATCACAAATTGCATGGTGATAACGAATTTTACTCTGTATCCAGCGATATTGAAGTCGATCCTGAAACAAATAAGCTAATTCGAAGAAAAAGAAGTCATACTTTGCACAGAGATAATGATTATTATTCTGTTGATGAAGAAACAAAGCGTGATGAAATTACGGGAGATTACATAAGAAAGAAAAGGAAACATAAGCTTCATAATGATGAAAATTATTATTCTTCGGACATTCAGGGAAGACGTAAACGAAGACGTCACAGACTTCATGGTGATAACGAATACTACTCAGTTGATGACGAAACTCCACGCAATCCAAGAACTGGAAAACCAATTCGACAAAAAAGATCACATAAACTCCATGGCGACTCTGATTACTATTCTGTTGATAGTGAAACAAAGGTTGATAATGACGGACATTTCATTCGCCAAAAGAGAAAACACAAATTATCTAAAAAGAGGAAAACAGCCCAGTTTGACTCGAACGAATACTCTTTCGACAGCGATGTAGATAAGTTCGCTGTGCAGAAAGGAAAGGAATTCAAGAGAGAACCGAAAGATCACGGAGATCCAGATTATTATTCCATAGATTCGGATACTCCCATCGATCCGAAGACAGGGAAGTACATTAGAGTCAGGAGATCGAACTCTCCGGCTGATTCCTCAAGTGATGAAATGCACTTCAGCACAAAAGCGAACAAAATCCTTGAAAAAGGCGACAAAAACTATTATTCAATTGATAGTGAAACAGAGAAAGATCCACAAACAGGATTTTACATCAGAAAGAAAAGATCTCATCCAATTCTCGACCATGGAGATGAAAACTACCTATCAATTGACTCACAAACACCAATTGATCCACAGACTAAGCAATACATCCGACAAAAACGCCAAAATCCAGTCAAAGATCACGGTGATCCAGATTATCTGTCAATAAACAGCGAAACACCAGTTGACAAAACAACAGGCCAGTTCATTCGCCAGCGCCGAGATGAAAATGCTCTTGAACACGGCGACAAATACTTCGAATCTATTGATTCGTCCACTCCTATTGACTCTAAAACAGGTAAATACATTCGCCAACGTCGCACTCACATCTTAATTGACCATGGCGATCCAAACTATTTGTCCATTGACTCCGACACCCCTATTGACAACATCACAGGCCAATTCATCCGACAAAAACGCCAAGAACCACTCAAATCACACGGTGATCCAGAATATCTCTCTATTACAAGCGAGACTCCGACTGATCCTATTTCCGGTCAATTCATCCGCCAAAAGAGGAAGTACAAGCGCACAGACAACGAGACACAGTTTGATTCCACATCTAACGGCAGGAAGAGACCTCGGCCGCTCCTTGATCATGGTGACGAGAATTATTATTCCGTCGACAGCGAAACACCTATTGATGGAAGGACAGGCGAATACATCAGGAAGCTGAGGAACAGCAAAAGAACAGAGCAGACAGAAGTTTTCTCCAGGCTGCCAAGTCCAAACAAGTCTAAATACATCACAGATTTCTCTATCGAACCTGATGAAGAAAAAATTTCACATCATATGTCCAAACACAATTCGCCTAAACACAACAAGAGCAGGGATGTCGACAGTTTCATTGACGACAGCTACGACTTCTCAAGGACGATGTCTAAGGGTGTGCCTTTGAGAGATAGATACGGCTTTCCGCTTAAGAATAATAAATATAATAACTCACAGCCAATAAAACGGTATACCAGAAAATAAAAAATTATTGTTTGTATTCTTTTTATTAATAACTTTATATTTTTAAATCTAATCAATCTCTATCCATTTTAGTATTATTAAATTCCGTATAATTTGTATAAAGTTCAGATCTGTCTATATTGATACAAGGGATATATCCATCACATATTGCCGGCTTATGTAATATCACGGTATCATACCAATAATTTGTGTCACCCATACTTTTCAAATATTCTTCCTGATATGCTTCAAAATGCGTTGAAATATTTGAAAAAAGATTTACACCTATTCCCAATTTATCTCCTTTTATCTTGATTCCTGCGGCTGCAAGGACAGAAGGCATTAGATCGTATGGTGTGAACACTCTTTCAAATGTTTTCTCCGGCTTTACCGAAGGATTAATAAAAATATTATATGTTGTTCTTTCATAGTTCTTAGAAAGAGCTAGAGTATATACTTGATTGTCTCTTGAAAAGTGGTCTCCAAATACTAAGATGACAGTATCATTGTACCATGGCTGGTTTTTTGACCATTCAACAAAGTTTTTCAATTGATTATCTGCGCATTTCACTGCTCTAAACAAGTCATTGTCTCCTTCAGGACACAACTTGCATGTAAAACCAGGTTCGTGAGTGTCAAGAGTTGACATGAAAGCGAAAAATGGTCTCTTTTGGTTTGACAATGAAGTGACTTCGCCTTTGAAGAAGTCGTAAGTAATATAATCATCATACCAGAATCTTTTTGAATATTGTTTTAGGATTACCTTTAATGGATTTATTTTTTGGTAGTGGTGGTATTCGAAAATATGACCATATCCCCAATCCCTGGAAGGACATCCAAAAGTTGCGGATGTAATGTATTCATGATCATTTAGTAATTCACTCAAACAAGATAAGTCATTTAGATAACCTTGAGTTTGTCCTCCAAATTTGTTTGAACCCAAATAAGGAATGCCACACAGGGCTCCAAATGTTGCTCCCAAAGTGAAACCAGTTCTTGGAATTGTTCTCATTCCACCAAGTTTGGGAAATTTCAAATGCGAAAAGTGAGCATTATTTTCATCAAGAGCGAGCTCTTCCATGTATGGAATCAATGACCCACCAATGCACCCTCCATTTTTAACGGAAATATATGTTGAATCCATTGATTCAAGGCAGATAATGATGATATTCCTTTTCTTTTCAGGCATTTCCAAAAGTCGAGAATTTGGTGTAACCACGTATTTGAAGAACAGGGAATTAGCTTTTGTTGGCGGTAATGGAATAACAATTGTATTGAAAAAAGAAACGACAGAAACAATATAAAAAAGAGGTAAAATTCTGAACCTCAATGAGAACTTTATATTTGTATTCTTTATCATATATATTTTATTGGAGATTTGGTAGAATAGAATCATGAAGGCAATTGAAGGAATAAAACATGTCAAAGTATACTTTTTGAAATATGTGAAAATAAGAACATAGTTATCTTTGTAAGTTTTGCCTTGATCAATGAGTTTAATGAAGATATCTTCATATATAGGTCCTATTGTTTCATATATATTCTTCATGAAAGCTGAAATCAATGAGAGAATAGTTACAAATATTATTGTTTCAAAATTTAAAAGATATTTGTAGTAATGTAATCCATTATTATCAACATTGTTCTCCAAATCATACTCTTTAATATATAATCCTGAAAACGCTGAAATAAATTGCAAAAGAAAAAAGAACTTGGAGTTGAACAATCTTGCTGTGAAAATTTGCTTGAATGGTACTATTATGAAGAATGATAAAACCCAAGTAATGAAAATAGCGAGTTTGATACTGTTAGTGATGATTTTTTGAAGAATAGACATTGCACCTTCCTCATTTTGTAAGGCATCACTAATAAAGCCAATATGGTACACAAGTGTTGTAATCCCATAGAATGCTAGAAGATGAGAATATGAAAGATTCATCCCAGATTTATTTATTCATTTCAATTTTGAATTCAGAATTAATTGCAATTTGAATATCTTGATCGTAGATTATGATGAGTATATAAGAATTTCCGAAAAAGTGACACTTTCAATAGGGAGTAACACTTAAAAAGTGACAATTTAAAATTCACAATAAATAAAAATAATAAATTTTTTAGTCTATTAAATTATTCTTTTCTTTGAAATCCTCTAAAAATTCTTCGAAATGTTCTAAAATATAATCTGGAGAATTATAACAAAATTCATTAATTTCTAACATATACGTATCTAACAATTCATTTGGAATTTCAAACGATCTTAAATATGTAATTGAATTTTGTATCTTCTCATTTATTTGAGAAAGTTTTTCTTCAGCATTTTCCAATAAAAATCTTAATGGATTCAAATTGGCTTCTTGATTCTGAACAAAATTTAATACTTGGTATAAACGTGATTGAACTTCTCTTTTCAATTTTGTTTTATAATCTGTCAATCGAGGCTCGCGAATTCTAATTGAAGGAATAAAACCTGTTTGAAGTAAATCGTTTTTAATACGATAAAAGTAATTGGGTGCAACTTCTTCTAAAAGATTTTTGACAAAAACATCAATTCTTTGATTTTTAACGCAGCCAAAATCGTGATATTTTATCTTTTTAAATAAAGATTCAGAAACGTTATTCACAACGGTTAATTCATTTGGTCTGGCAGCGGCTATCCACATCATAGCCAACAATTCCTTATACAAAATTCAAAAACTTGGGTGCAATCAGTTCTGATTGCACCCAAGTTTTTGAACTTTCTTGAGGGAATTAAAGGGTGAGAGATTTATAGTCTATCTATATATATCCCACCCTCTAATTCCCTCCCTGACAGCGGGAAACTTTGTCTGAATGTTAAACTATTCAGACAAAGTTTCCCACTGTTTGCGAAGGAATTGTTGGCTATGATGTACTGATCATGAATCAGTACATCATAGCCAACAATTCCTTATATAAAGTTCAAAAACTTGGTGCAATCAGTTCTGATTGCACCCAAGTTTTTGAACTTTCTTGAGGGAATGGAAGAGTAAGAGGTATACATTATGAATATATACCTCTTACCCTTCCATTCCCTCTCTGACAGCGGGAAACTTTGTCTGAATGTTAAACTATTCAGACAAAGTTTCCCGCTGTCAGCGAAAGAATTGTTCCATCTGGTGCATAGAGTGTGAATCTATGCACCAAATGGAGCAAGTCCCTCGCGAAATTGCCCAAACTTGCGTCGCATTTCAAAGATTGCGACCCAAATTTTGGCGATTTCTAGTAGAGATGGAGTATTTTGAGTCACTGACCTATATGCAGTGGCTCAAAGGGCTCCATCTCTACTTTGAAGCAAGGAAACTTTCCTCGAAATTTTGATAATTTGAAGAAAGTTTTCAAGCAATTAACAAAGGATTACCCGCTATGAGGTAAAAATTCTAGATTTTCACCTCATAGCGAGAGCTTCCCTTTCATTGCTTGAAAACTTTCCCTAGCTTCAAAATTGGGGAAAGGGCTGTAAAGTCGACTCCGATACCAGCAGGTACCAGAGTATTTAAAAGAGAAGCCCTCGTACGAGTTTCTATGAAGACCTTCTCATTCAAGAAGATCTTAATAGAAAATCGTACGAGGGCATTGGAAACTCGCGTCTGGTACATGTTGGTACCAGAGTGTTTGAGATTTGAAGACTCTGGTACTAACATGTACCAGAATTTATGATGAATTTAAGATGGACCATTATAAAATGGTAGCGGTTGTTTCAAAAAATTTAGATGAGATTTGCATAGATATAGATTATATGATTTATACATATGAAAAATAATATATAAAAATATAATTTTGAGATAATTATGTAAATAATATTTTAAATATTTGAATTTGAGGTATAATTTTTAGTAAAATATATTATAAAGAGTATTTTATAAATATTGTAAAATAATATAAGTAATAAAATTGAGACCCCTCCCTGTTTTTGATGTTTTGTCACTTTTTCGGTAATTCTTATTGTTTCAGATTATGATTTTCAAATTTAGCCCGATCCAATCACTTTAATTTCAAATCTTCTCAATCACATTATCAAAGAAACAAGTTCTTAATCAAAAAAAAAAAAAAAAAAAAAAAGGTAGTGGGGCTTCCAGGCACTTCGTGCCCTCTAGCCCCGAAGATGTTTAGTATAAATGAAGTTTTTATTCGGAAAATTGTTAGTCTTCTGGTGTGAATTCGGAGGACTCTTCTTCTTCCTCCATTGCTTCTGGGAAGAAGCCTTCTTCTGGGTCGAAAACATTATATAATGTTTCACTTTTCACAAATTATATAGTTTTCATGCTTTGTCACTTTTCTGTCACTTTTCGGGTAAAAACATTTTTATTATTATATATAAATGAATTTTACAAAACCTCCGTTACCGTTCTTTGGAAATAAAAGTAAATGTAAAGATATTATATTGAGAGAACTTAAGAAACTACCGAATGGTCTAACATTTGTAGATTTGTTCGGTGGAAGTTTCTATATATCCCATTTGTGCCATACAATATTCCCAGACTCAAAGATTATATGCAATGACTTCGACAACTATATGGACCGTCTCAAACATATTCCAGACACTAACAATATATTGAAAGAGTTAAAAGAAAAGATACCTATAGGTAAGATGGAACGTATACCATTAGATAACAAAAATATTGTGAGAGAGGTTTTGAAAAAAGCAGAATATATAGACTGGGATAGTATATCTGCTAGACTATTATATAGTGGTTCTATAAGAGTTCATGACATTGAAACACTTATGTCAAAAGTTTTATATCTTAACTATACAAATGTTTTCAAAGAGGACATAGAAAAATATATTGAGGGTATAGAGTTTGTGAGATGTCATTGGACAGAGTTGTATGAAAAATATAAAGACAAGGAAAATGTTTTCTTTATAGTGGACCGCCGTTCTATAACACATGGGATTTTCAATACCAAGTAGACTGGACTTTGAGAGACTCTTTAGAAACTTTAGACGTTTTACATAACCATCCATGCTTTTACTTTACATCCGATAAAAGTGGTTTGGAAACCGTTATGAGATGGTTAGAGGACATACATGACTATGAGTTTATATATGACAAGATAGAATATGAGAGAGGTCCTATAAACCGGAGAAAGTGTCATAACAAAGAAATTTTATTAGTAAGTAAATGTGGTTTGAAATAGGACTACTTGTTTTAGGTTTTTTCCATTGTGTCATTTATTTCTTTGACGTGGCAGAAAGATATAGAGAATATGAAGATGAACCAATGCCTGCAAATGTTCAGTATATGTACTCGTAAGAGATATTTTTATCTAATATTAAATGGACGCACAGAACTTAGCGAATGCACAGCAACCTGGACAACCAAACCCAGAGAATATTCCAAATGAAGTTAGAATACAAACTGCGATGGCAAACTATGGTCAAGTGCCAACAGATGTACAAATGCAAACTGCCATGTCAAATGACGCTGCGTTAGGTTTGCCACCATGGTATGCAAATATGAGATGGAAAGAGTTTTATACAAACCCTGAAGTGGGATATAAACAACTTTATGCAGATGACGCGAACACAGGAGTTGACCCAGAATATGTTTTCTACCAGAGAGAAACAGAATGTATGAGCTCCAGTTAAAGAATGCTATGGAACTCAACAGGAAACGTAAGAGACTAGGCGGACATTAGATTTTTACATATAGTAAAATGGGTTTCTCAGTAAGATAGGAAACTTCTTTCGAAATGTTGGAAGAGGTATATGGAATGGAATAAAAACCGTAGGAAGAGGAATTTGGAACGGAGTCAAAAATATTGGTAAAAGAGTAGGTCAGTTTGTTGGTATTATACCTAAAGACCCTGAACCAGAAGAGCAAGCTCCTGTTATACAACAGCCTGAACCTGCACCACAGTCTAGTTGGCAACCAAATCCAACACCACAACCGGTATATTAAAAAATTATATTTTTACCGTTCGATAGTAGTTGTATATGAAACTAAGTTCTAAGTAAAACGCATGGTATAATGGAATTATTCTTTTCTCTTCCATCTGTAGTAAACCATACTTGAAAGTCTGAAATACTTCCACTTGGTGGTTCGTATAACTTTGTAGGTTTTTCGTAAAAGTCATTTGCCAAGCATAAGAAAGAGTTTTGGGCGCCAGAAAATGAAGCATGAACAATAATAGCAGCTGGGTCGAAAACATTTTCATATGTTCCATTAGGGT